CAATGATGGGTTTTAATACACAATGCTTTCCTTTAAAATTTCTTGAACAGATTTATTGTTTGAAATGCAAACCTGATGGAATTTTTACATCACAGCTCATTTACATGCATTGTACAATAATTTTTATGATTGGCATTTGTAAGCGTGTTATACATGCCCTGTTTACCGGGAAATTACCGACTAGCACACACTGTATGTACAAACCATAATTGTAGCGTTGTTGGTAATCACATTGTGTAAGACAGATGTCCTTCAGTTTGGGTGCAAAATACAAAAAGTACTAATTACATTTAGATACACAATTTAAATCTTTGTGAAAATTTGTTTTTCTATAATCACATTTTTCCTATTAGTTTTTACATGAATTTCTTAAAATAAATTATACGTATACATATATGTAATTTATACAGATTACTCTTGAGATTTTACTCATAATCTGAGTATGTTTATTGAAAAGAAAAAAATCAGTGTCGTGTCAAAAATTTTAAGAAAGACTGATTATCCCACTCATTTGCCACAATATGTGCATTAAACAATGAGATATGATATAGAAGGTATAAGTGGCGTATTATGATATGTTTGTGTGTGTGTGTCAGAGATACAGTGTCTGTAGCAGAGTAATACTAAGATATGTAAATAATACAGGGTTGTTGTTATGATTATTCAATGTTACTACACTTATAACTGATGTATGTGGATATATAGCTAGCACAAGATTACATTACCAGTACTGTTAATTCTGGGTATCATAATGGGAGTAGTCCATTTACATATTTATCAACAGAGCCCTAAGTAGGTATATACATAATGTATTGGTCTATATATAAGTGACTGAGGTACATCCTGTTGCTTTGATAATAATTTTAAAACATTCGGTCAGATTTTTTGTTTTTGAAGATTTGTAAGAAGTACACATTTCTCCTGTGGTATTAGAACCTTGTGTGCTGTTTGACAAATGGTAGGATGCATAGTCTCTAATTGTTGTTCAGTCACAAGCCATTTGCCTATCATTCAATCACAAGACAGTCATATTTTTACTTACAAGTCATAGAAGTTAGTCATACTTTTAGTCGCAAGTCAGTTGTACATTAAGTCACAAGTCAGTCATCCTGTTTGCCATAAGTCAGTCATACAGGCATGCCTAAATCAGTCATATGGGTGGGCTAAATAAGTCAAAGTCAGCTGTATTGTTGGGCCTAAGTTAGTCAAATTCAATTGAATGATAAGGTTTTAATCAGGTCCTGCGTACTGTCATTTGTAGGTCAGTTGTACAGTCTATGACATTAGATGGATTTAGTAATGTCACTTTTCAATAGAAGAATCTTTGGGGTTTTTTTTATCAGTCACTCTGTGATAGGATAATTTAATCAGTCCTCTTGTTTAGATGATGTTCCATAACTGAAAAGTAAACACATTATATTGATGCCAAAGTTCTAAACTAATGACATCCAACCACAGATGTATACTGTATGACACCATTAGTGGACTCACATTTAATTTTTACTTTTAATATGCATTAATGGTATGGCATAAGATGTTGTATGGTTTAACCTCCAAACATATTTAATTGGAACTCTTGGACATTCTCTTTGTATGATAATGAAACAGAGTGCAATACATCATAAGATATTAATCTACTGATAACATGTATCAATCACAGAGCTACAATCATACTTTATTCTTTTCTTAGATTTTATAAAATGATATGCATTTTAAACACCATATTTGCATGGTGAAAACCCTAGTCATACTTATTTATTACTGTAAAGTAGAATTAGAAACATATGTTATTTTATTGTCATAAATTAAACCCACTGCTGTCTTGCAATTGTGAGAAAGCTGGAGTACTATGTTGTCTCCCTGGGCTTATAACAGGAGAACTAAGGTACTGCATATTCTTTTAGCTGAGGTATAATAGTGATAACACTTTGTGGGAAAGGAGGGAAGGGGGTAAATATAATGAAATATTAACAAACACGTATTAAGTATGGTGTGCTCAAAATGCTGTCAAATCATTTTCAAAAGTCAAAGTCAAAGGACCTTTTAAATGATGCTTAAATTTGTTTCCATATCAACAGAACCAATCACATTGAAGTAACGGGTATATAGTACTCTGAAGCTGAGAGTTTCATATTTTCTTGCCTTAGCTCCTTATGCCATGGGTCTGTAACCTTTCTGGTACAATCCTCATTGACTTTCAGGTTTTTCTTCAATTTTTCAAAATGAAAAACTGGATGTTAACATTTGTACAGACAAGAGTAAGAATAAAGATAATGTTTGTCTAATGTTCCTATTCACATAATACAAAACGTTTCTGATGTGTTTTTTTTCCTCGCTTTTATTATACCAGTGTCATGAAACTCCTATAATATACACATTGTGTAGCCGATTTGTGTTCAGCATGAAAAAGGAACAATGAAAGCTGGCATTGATGAAATCTGTATTGAGTGTGCATCAGATTGGTGAAAATGCTACATCATAAAAATTGTATCAGGACTTCGATTTGAGCCATGGTATTATTTTCATTTATTGCTCCATAATAGGCCTGTGTTATCTTCATAAATCAGAATAAAAGTGAATCTAATATCTTAAAATTTGACATGATAAATGGTCATGTGTACAATCTTGTCATCCGTCTTCCTTTTTCTGTAACCAAACAACGATCTTCAGAGAATTACGAATTAATTTTAATTAGCTGTAATGATCATATAACAAATAGTGCAATGCATTTTGAACAATTCATGATGAGTTTCATTTTCATCAAAATACTGATAGTCATTTTAATCAAAATAGATATTACACGTTAGGGAGAGTAACTTGATAGATGTCTTTCATAAGCGGTAAAACCTGATCTGAATTATTTTATCTCAAGGCGTACAGCAAAATCAATTAGATTCCTAATCTTCGCTTATAGTCTGTTTCAAATTTCTTTGACTGTGGAACAGGAACATTTGAAAAACCAGTTAAACCCTTCAAGATATCTCATTTTAAATCAGTCCATAAAAGAAATAATTCAGTCAGTAAAAAAATCACTTAAAATAATACCTTAGCTCTAGATTTTCTGAATGAAATATATAATTTAGGTAGGGTTAATCAAATGTGTTTCAGTATTGATTTTTTTCTTTCATTTATTGCTTTTTTATTCTTTCCACATTTCATTCTTCCGTTTTAAAACATACAAAATAACAGCAGAATCTTAAGTAAAGCCTTGACGAGATACTGTCGTTGAAGTAAAGCTCAAAACATACAAATGTTGGGAGCATCAATAATAATGCTGAATCAGTACACCTAAAATTTAATGGATCATTCTTGCTTCATAAATAAGTGAAATTGCCAGGTGAAGAGATAATTGGTATTTGAAGGCCTTTTATAACCCTTGACCATTGTTGATAAGAAATTTGATACAGGAGACAGGAAGGGGATGAGCTGAAGTGTAGTAAACATGTCTAAAAATAGTAAGAAAAAAAAATCTGCATGCAGTCAGCAAAACTAAATATGAAAGAAAAATAATAGATTAGATTTCTGCTATTCTGCTGACTGCAAAAATTGAAACAATTCTGTTTATTGATTATATGAAAGAAAAATAAGAGAAACTAAAATATGCAGAAACCAGTGACATTAAGAGCATGTCAGAATTTTATTGACAGAAATGAATTTTTAATACCAAGATAGATGTAACAAAGTTATAGGAATGCGCCAAGTGTATACACAGCGATATTTATATATATACACACAGACTAGAATAATTGATTTGTGTTCACTAGTGCACAAGCTATGCTTTCAGTATTTTATCATAGTTTGGGTGGTGTTTAGAAGTCTGAAACAGTTTATCAAATACAACATAGGTCAGATATACATCCGAACCAGCACACAATATACAGAACAGCCTTTTACTGTGTTAGGGTTTTGATTACTGGAATTAAAATTTCTGAAGCTGTAAGACGACTGGGTAATGTATAGACTTTAAACTACACATATTATGCAATACTACAACAGATAAAAATATTGACTTTACTATCAGTGTTATATGCAGAAGATGAATAATGCATACGCTCATAGAAAACCAATCCCAGTTTCTGTTTGAGAATACCATTTACTTTGTGTTTTTTTTTTAACTTATTTTAATTTATTTATTCATACACAGATATACTTCTGGTTGAGTAATTGATAGACATTATAAATATGTACAAACTTTTTTTTCATCTTTGTGGTAATTGGCACTTCAGTATGTTGAACTTTCCTACAAGATTATTATAAGCTAGACTATTTGAATTAAATTCAGGTTACACACACGTTAGGTTTTATTAAATGTAGATAAGACTCTACCACTTGATGTTAATAAATAGATTTTGGGTGTACTGCATTTTGGTAAACAATTCTCAGAACATTTACCGTATTTTGGTCCAATCTGGCTATTGAAGGGAGGTAACTCATATAATCCATTGACAAGTTGCCGATTGGATTCACGCTAGCTCAATTTCTTGGCCAAATTTGATACTGTTTTTTAGATTACAACACGAGATTGAACATTCTTGCAGAAGTTACTGTTCAAAGTATCTCTTTTATAAAGGAAGCTTATAACTGTCACTATGTTTTTGAAGTAAATCTAAATATCTATTATAATAACTTCTGCTGAAAAGTTTTTACAACAATTCACTCAAATATAACAAGAATCTACAGTCCAAAACAATCCTCGACATTAAAAAATAGTTCAGAACAGATTTTATCAGATTTTTCATTCTTGTCTTTGTATGATAATGTGATGTTTCGAAATTGATCTTCATATTTGCTATTTAATTTCAGCACAAGATATTGGTACCTTTGTGATAGTTGATTCTGAAGATTAAATATCTGATATCAGTATGCAGTTCTTGTTTTCGTGTTAATTATTATATTATGAGCATGAGACTCTTGTCTAGTTGGAGATGCTGTTATCCTAAGATAAGATATGTGTTCGAGTTGATACCAATTCTCATGTTTACTATTCCTTCTGATTGTAGCACGAGATCCTTGCTTTCTCAGAGAAGTTGATCTTGAGGTTGGATGACCTTGTGAGCTTGGTATACTTGGACCATGTTGAGTGGGGTTTTGGTCTTGCTCTCCTCCATGAGGACAGTGTGGAAGGTGAAGTCCAACCTACAGATCCCCAGACTAAGTTCTTTGCCAACACACAGAACTCAGGACTTCTCATGGATGACGTTCAAAAAGAAATTGATGTTCTGGGTAAGGTGTTCCCCTTGTCTACTGCAGTTATTTACAATGGAGATTTTCAAACAAAAATTTCCATTTTCATTTATTTTTTTCTTGAAATTTTAGAATGAAATTAAATTGAACTTCATAAGCAAATTAAGTACTGGACACACATACTGGTATATGTATTATAAAGATAAGAAGGTATGTGAATGGTTGTAAAAAGTGATTTGGTATTCCTGCAGATATAGAAGAAACAGATTTTTTTCTCTCTTTTCCTTTCTTTATGCAGTGTTTAATTTCTTCTTGTCACATATATAACTTTAATTTCTGAATTTTATTTTGTATGACCTTTTTAAGAAAACCAAACTGTTTACTTTAAAAATTGTATGACAGATTTTAGATTAGGAAGAGATTGATTCACATCATATTGAATCAAGATAGATTCAGCGGAAGTGTCAACCGCAACAAGCTCAGAATAAGTTGGTAGTAGGTTTATTCATCCTGTCGACCAGTTTCGCCCGAACTATGTGGGCTTCATCAGGACCTACTACCATCTTATCCAGAGCTTGTTTCGGTTGAAACTTGCATTGTTAGTCCCTATTCCTCAATCGCCCTGCATACCAGGTGGTATCCAAGCAAGGGATATCAGGAACACCCTGATCTACACCTAGCACCACGACGATCGCTCTAATCCCTGTGTTTACTGCTAAGATAGATTAAGAATTCTTACTCAATATTTGTTCCTTTTGCTTATTTACTTTCATAACCTGTTTGTAGGTGAACAAAAAACGACATCTACCTGTGTGAAGGTATTAAGCTTTCCTCAGTATTGTCGTTACCGAACCATCATGAAGAGGTTAGAGAACATGGCAGACAAGTGTCTTAAACAACAGATCATCTGTGCGCTTGGTGGCATCACATCCAAAAGTCATAATAACCGCATCATGTTTTGTCGGGACACTTTTGATGACCCTGATCTCGATGACCTGGAAGTACGAATGGACCATTTAGGTTTGTAGCACCCCCGCATCCTGCTTGTGTACATTTCTAATAATCATAAGTTAAAATGGATGCTATACATTGATTTTGATGTGATTTTGCAAAACGAAATCCTTACTATCAAATAATTTTTACTTCTCTCTTGATTAACAATACACACAATGAATTTATGAAAAGTGAAATAACTTCCAAATATTATGAATTGCCAGCTGTGTATGATATGATAATAAATGTATTTTTCTACAGCACCAAATCTTAAAGGGCGACCTCGAAAGAAACGGTCATCAAAAAGTGATGGAAACGGTGAATCAGACAGCAACGAAACTTCTTCAGACATATCTACGCCTTCATCTCGCGTCAAAGTGAGTATTTATTAATTAATAGATGTTGTGTTATATGTGATCAGCTTTCACATCAATTGTTGTTTCCACTTTTAAACATGTGTAGTTAGAAATTTTAGTTCTGTAATTTAGGTCATTTTGTTTCTGCTAGATTTTATGGTCATCATATTGTTATGTAAAGAATGTTAGTTTTCAAATGTTCATAATTAATAAGAAATATTGATCGGAGTTCTTAAAAGATTCATTTAAAGATAGCAGAAATAAAATATGGTCTTCTTGAACTTTTTTAAAGTTCATTTTATCCTCAATTTAGTGATGGTAGCACTGTTACTATATCATTTGTGTAAACAAGACATCTGCATCAAATAAAAAATTGCCTTAACTGAAGAGCTGGACATTGCTTGAATGAATACGTTATATTGGACATAAGTAAATTATACAGTGATTAATAGGAAGATGTTTTTGTCATTTGAAAAATTTTCCCAAATTATGCTTTGTTTAAAAAGTGTAAGAATTTTCTCACACATGTGTTGACATGTTTTTCTGTTTTGTATTTTCTTCTTTTTTTTTTCATTTCATATGGGCATTATTTTGACAACAGACATTTTGACAACAGCACAAAAGGTTATCACGCCAAATGTTGTTGAAAAAATTTCATGATTTTAACATGTGGTTTTGCTCTTGCTCCATATACGCTTAACATCTTATGAATTCTTTGAAAACTATGTTTATCATTTTTAGGCCAGCAAGAGGGAGTCTGCCCTTCGGAATGGCTTCAGATTTGACAAGGACCGAATCAGCAAAGACGAACAAGCGTTCCTTATAGACTTACACAAGTTTATGAAAAAACGTCACACCCCTATAGACAGGATTCCATCACTTGGGTTCAAGCAGAGTAAGTTTAAACCAAAAAATTTCCTCTCAGTTTCTGACTTGGATTCCCATGTCCTCATTAAGACACTTTCATGCTGTTCTATTTGAAACAATATGTACGGTTAATAAAAGATAATAAATATTTATTCATGATTATTGAGAAGTAAATAAAGATCACTGAAATCTAATTTATTGGATATATAGAGGGAATAAATACATGCTTAAATGTTTAAAAGGAATCTATCAAAATGTAAAATAACAATTGTTTTACATGTTGAAGTAAATTCCAGTTCAACAGGAAATGAAATCAAATTTTGCTTAATTATTTCATTGTGATAAATATTCTACAAAGCAAATTTAAGTTATTTTTCATTGGCAAATGAGTGCTGAAGTTCAGTTTTCAAAGTAAATTGATTGATAATGGATATCTTATTTAAGGAATGAAATTACTTTCAGTTGACCTCTGGTACTTCTACACCTATGCACAGAAACTCGGCGGCTATGAACAGGTATGCATTGCTATCAACAAGGCAATACTTAACAGAGATATTATGGAATAATTGGTGACAAGATTTTGTCTGAAAATTAGTTAGGGGGAAGGGGGAAGGCACAAATAGCTCTATAAAGTGTCAGTCTAGATAACCTGAAGTAATGATCCATGGTTGTGGTTTGACACTATCTGTGGTGGTTTGTGTTTCTCAGAAAGCTTAGAAACTGTTCTGTGCAGAAGTGGTTGTATCAATTCAGAAATGTACCTTTCAGCTTATCTTCTGTGACATTTTTGAAAAAGTAATTACGAATGTTAAACACAGAGAGTATTCTTTTAAGTTTAACTTATATGTATTTCTGTTAACCAGATTACAAGGAAACGACTGTGGAAGCACTTATACGATGTATTAGGAGGAAATCCAGGAAGTACTAGTGCTGCCACCTGCACACGCAGACATTACGAAAAGTAAATATATTTCTACACTGCAGGTCTTGCCATATTCAGTCATACTTGAGAAGTTTCTCAAGACAATTGTATTGTATGTTTTTGTTTTTTAGCAAAATTTGTGAAATTAATCACATTTAAAGGCAACGCTAAGTAATAAAGGCACCAATGGCAAATATTGAACTGACAATTTGTATGAAATGACTAAAATCAGATATTCAAATTTATGCACCAAATAATGAAAATTTGCCTATGGTAAAAAAATTTGTCAAATGACTCAGCTGATGTTAATGTGTTTACAGGCTGCTTCTTCCCTACGAACGATATGCACAAGAAGAGGCCACAAGGACTACTGTAGCAAATAAACAAAAGCGAAAGTCAGAGCTCCTCGCCAAAGCCCGTGCAGAGGCCAAAGAGAGGCTTCAAGATGCACAGGACTCGGATTATGATTATGAGGAGGAGCAACATCATGCATTTAAAAGGGTGAGTGTTGTCTTGGATTATATGATAAAAAATTCTGTTCAGAAACTCTGTATGTTAAGAATGCTCAACTTGTCTCTGTTTTTCAATAGATGTTGCGAGTTGACATATCTCTGTGCGGAGGTGACATGGCAAGTGTGTGCTGATTATCTGTGATTTTTCGGTTAAAGCTTGTCTTAGTGACCAAGTTTTGTGCACCCAGCTTGTAGTTTCATAAGTTATTGCAAAACTCTCAACTCATGAATATTCATTTACATAATACATGTAGTACAGATTCCAGCTAAATGTACTTAATCTCATTCATGAAATTGATTGCAAGAAACAAGTTAAAATATGTTTAAGCAAACCTGGTTTTACATTGTGCTGAATATTTGTGTGAATATATGGCATATTCATATATTTTTTCAATGTAATTTAATGCATTACAAAGAAGACCAGAAACAGAAACATCACTTGAAATTCTGATAAAGAATATTTGTTAAACCTCTCAGATATGTTTCTGAACAAGGTAATGTATAAAGTGAAATAAATCATGTTTAAGCTGACTTGCACTATTGATATATCAATCACTGAAATAGAACGTTCATAATATTCTTAAAACAAGAGCAGTTTCTTTTTGGAAAAAATTATTTAAACATATCTTCAGCTTTGTTGATACGTACTGATATTTACATGTGAAATTTCATTCTGTAAGAGAGTTGGAAATTGATGGAATCTTGCAGTCAAGTCTTTGTGAAATGAATAAGAGAATTATGATGAAGTATATTCATGGAATGGAGGAATTTGTGGTGATGTTGGTCGAAATAGATTTGAAAGAATTTATGATCAATTTATGATTGGTGGTCAAACTACTGTGTGAAGGCATTCATGATGAAGTGCCTTTTATCATTTAAGGAACACAAGGTATATGGTCGAGTTTATTGGTGACTTATTATATAGTGGAAAGTGAAATCGTAGGTGGATTGATGAATAAAGATTCACTGTAAAAATGTATCAAGAATGTTGTTTGCAAATGTGGGATAAATCTGTTACAGCGGAGGCGACCTCTTAGCCTCGCCTCAGACAAAGTCCAACTTTGGGAGACAATTCGTAAACACCAAGCCTTAGAGCGAGACAAGGTATCCATTATGGAGTAGTCAACATTTGAGAGCTTGTCATTTGTGTCCCATTGCGGCTTTATTTAAGGATGTTAACTTTTGTTCTCTGCTTTTGTAAATTTTATTTTCTTTTTATTTCGCCAAAAAAAGAAAAAGGTAAAATAGATTTAGTACAGGAAACATTTTTTGGGGAAAATGTGTTAGCTTTTTTTATAGTTTGTTATTTTGTAGAATTGCTTGCAAGCATAGAAATCTTTGACAAGTCTGTTAAAGGTGTGTACAGTCAATGTGGTTGTTATATGTAGTATGAGCTTCAGTGATTGCTGATACATATATTCTCTTCTGACTGGTCATGTCGCATGAAAAACAGTTTTTTATCTTTTCTTGCTGCAGATATTGAGTTCAGTCAGCTATTTTTGTTTGGTTACAACATTTAATTTGATATTTCAATTTTTGGCTTTTAATTTGAATTAAATGGCTGCAGTTTGGCTTTTTAGTTTAGTCACAGTAATTAGTTTGGCTTTGGTTTTAAGGGTTTAGTTTGATGTCAATGGCTGTAGTTAGGCTTTTTAATATGGTTTAGTTTTATGGGTTTAGTTAAAAATGATATTTATATATATTTGTTTTCATCAATGTTCATTTACTTTTGACATTAGTAATTCAGCTTATTGTATTCATTCACAAATGCTTATTTTAGTCATTTCATTGAATCACAATTTTATAAATGTTTGTTTACATCCTGTAAGGAATTCTCCATCATTTCAAAGAATTTCCTCTCTTTTAGATTCTAAAAATAATTATTTTGATAAGAAATGTTCTTACTTTTTGAAAAAATTAAAAAAGAAATATAGCATACCAATTTTTGTTAATGGGTTTTGTTTGTTTGTTTTCCAGTTGAAGAAAGTTTCTCGTAATACCAAGACTGTGAAATCCTTATTGAACAATGCAGAAAAAGAGAAATCATTTTTGGAAATGAAGACAGAAAATGGCGAAAACAACATAATTGAAAAGTTTAAAATAAAATCAGAACAATTTGGACAGGAAAACAAGATGCAACAGGATGGAAATGTTCTGAAGTTAGAGAAACTAAATGGTAGTAGTGCTTCATCCAATGACCCAAAACAGGCTAATGACAGTAAAAGTATTGTCAGTCAGTCCAAATTGTTCCGGGCTGATCCTTCGCAATCCAGTAACCTTGTAACAGAGGCCGGCCTCTTACAGTTTGATAGAACAAGACTGTCACAAATATCTGGTCATCCAAATTTACCAGGCGGAGGACTCTTTTATCCACCGTTTATACATATGGGGGGTCTGCACCCTCTGAGTTTGCCTGTAATGCATCAGTTACCAGCTTCTGTACAACAGCTTATCCATTCACCCCTTCAGCCCGCCAAATCTACACCCTCTACAGACAAGCCTGCTAACCATCACAACACACAGAGATCAAGTTCTCAGTCCTCATCAGAGCAACGACCTTCAGTCATTCAGCACGGGCACCAATCAAAGATAGCCACAGGGACGAAAAGAGACTCAAGCCCTGCTCCTCAAAAGTCACACCAGCATGGTTCTCACATTTCCCCAACTTACGTGCCAGGCGTAGCAGCGCCTAAAGCACATTCAGGAGGATCCTCTGGACATTTGAAACGTTCATATAATTCATCAGTTCCTACAGAGGCTCACATTCCAAATCCACAACGAACTCACCCTAATAATAGATCACTTTTATTTGACTTTGAGGCGGCAAAAAAACCAAAAATGGAAACTCCGCCGGCTCATAGTAACAATAGCAGTAGTAATAGTGGTAAACTAAGTTCTGTTGTGACTTCTGATGCAGATCAACCTTGTGACCTCAGTATGAAGACTTTTCGTAGGAATGTTCACAAGGAGGATAAAATGAGAGACAGAAATGGAGATTTTGTTACAGACAAGGGAAGTAACTCACCCGCAGAGTCCCCATTTTCCGTGAAATCCTTGGCCCAGTCTGCTATATCATCGTCGTCATCACGTTACGCAAGTCCCAGCCTGTCCAGTCGCAGTCACCTTTTATTAGATAGGGTACACAGTCCAGATGTTCAAGCAAATGTGTTCTCCAAATCATCTGTACCCAGTCCCAATATACCATCAGTTCACGGTAATAAGACTGTGGATCGACCGCTGGTGCCTCCACCTGCCCATAGCAATAAGGTATGCTCTTAAAATGATGTTCATTGAGGAATGGTTCACGTTCATATTGATGATCAAAAACTTAGCTTGAGCATCACCTGTGTGTTTTGATTAAAAAAAGAATTATCTGAAATCCTATCTATTTTCCTTAGTTTGCTTGTATATGATATGCTCAATAACAGGTTTATTTTTGCATACACAAATTTTGCCATTCAAGAACAGGAACTATAATTTGATATAAAGTAACTCTTTTTCATATTTTAGATTAATTTGTAACAGGTGATAATATGCAGTATATCTTAAAAGTGGGTTCAGCTGTGTGTATGTCTACATTTTACATGACAGGCATTATCACTAACAACTTACATAACTTACTTCAGTTTTGATAGCATCTTGTGTCATGCAGATTCTAGAATATTTGTGTGATTGTAGATATTTTACATATCATACCCGTCTGACCTTAAGTCTGTTGGTTTATATCATCTTGTCAACAGTTGTAGTTTGAATGGTCGAGTTGGTTGCACAGTGGTAAAAATGTGTCTAGCTTTTAGAAATTTTTCAGTACATTTACTGGAATACTCCAGACCAAAATAGCTAGTTTTTTTTTCTTCAAATTCAACTCTCACAGAAAAAGGGTATTTTTTTTACATTACGTGATAATTCTCTTCCTCAGACCAGCGACCTCAGCCATCCATCCAAGAAGACCTCATCCACAGCTCTGCCATCATCAGTTCCAGCCTCCATGCATTCTCCGACAGATCCATCAGGACTTCTCCATCCTGCCTTCCCAAATCACATGGTGCGTCCCCAGTTTCCCCAGCAACCCTACTTCCCATCACCAATGCAGCTACATCAGTTTTTTGAAGCACAAATCCGAGCCAATGCAGCTCAGGCTGCAGTGTATGAGGAGATGCTGAGCCATGATCAGCGAGGGACATACTCCACCATGGCAATGCCGATGTTTCTACCGCAAGTCCCACTACATGCCCAAGCGGCAAAAGACAAGTCCCATTATGCACATGCAAAGTAGAGTTAGAAAGACTATGTTTTAAGTCTTTGCACCATTATACTGATATGTCTTGTTAATTGTGTCCCCAATAATCCAGTGGAATCTATGATTGATTCAAACAAGTTCAACAATATTTAATTATGTTTGGACTGACTGAAGGTCTACCATATCTTGTGTTTTGGTTGGTATTATCTTTACAAATCAAAACCAGGCGGTATTAAATTTGAACATTCTAGCATGGAAACGAATTTGAAGGATTAAAATGACTTGGTCGAATATGTATGGTTTCATAATTCTCTTGGGTCCTCACTTTATTGACAATTTTTCAAATACAACATGGTCTTCATTTAAATGGCAGCTGAATACTCGCACTATTCCCAAATTGATGTGAATTTTTGCTATAAGATAACTCTTCAGGCATTGATATCTTTAACCTGTCCTTTTTACCATTTTATGTTAGTTAGTGATCCCGTGAGATTCTTTTATGCATCAGTTTAGGCGGGGATACTACCGTTAAATAAAGATTCATTTTTGTCAAAATTGATATCTTGTATATGAAATAGAAATTGAAATTACTTGCCAATTTATATATGAAAAACGAAAATGGTTGTTGAAGATATTTGAAAGCCAGATCAGGAAATTTAAGTACATTTGGTATATGTGTGAGAGATTTTGTGATATCGGCCACAGGCTTACTGGTTCTTGTTAGTTTGATTTTGACACAGGTGTCTGATATATTTTCTAGACAGAGAGTGCAGTATATTAGTTGTTTCTATACCTTGTATGTACAGAAAGTCTGTAAAAATCTGAGAAGAAAACTACAAGCCCTTGTGATGTACAATGTTTGATATAAAGACAATGCTGTATTTTGTATGATAATATGAAGGAAAGTTGACTTACAAGTAAAGATGCAGATTTAGGAAAATAAGATCAAAAACTTATGTGAAAAATGTTACTGTTTGTCCTATTAAGACACCATAATACTTAAAGATATGGATAAGTGTCAACAATCGTAACATGACTTGATTTATTTTTCGTGTAAGTACATGCATTTTAATATGATCTAGTTCAGTGATATTAATTATCGGTATTCACTTACCATTCTAGATTTACAAACTTATGATTCTTTTTGATAAAGTTTTCAGCAGGTACATTGGTTTTATGTACACAAGAAACACAATGAAATAGCACTGGCCAGTTTGCTTTAGTAATTTGAAATGGGGTGTACCTGTATGGATATAGATGTATGTTTAATTTGAAGTTTTCATTAAGATAGTGAACATTGTGTGAGATGTTTAACTCTGTAGAGACTACATACAGATTTGTGTGGCTAGTGATTGGCTTGGGCCCATAGAACTAGAATAAAGAGGAAAAAGTGCAATTTTCAGTTATGTATAATTGGGAGAAAGTGTTAGCATCAGTTCTGAAAATGTAATAAGTCCCAGTATTTGTTAGTGAGATTATAATTCTGTATTAACGAGACAGCAATACTGTTTCTTCTTTTTATTTTTTTCGCCTGACAGGTCAACATGTTCAGATTGTTTGAAAGTTATAGAAAAGTAGTTATGAAATTGGGTTTCAAGGTTGTTTTCATAAAATTAAGTATGATGTAAGATCTATGAAATTAATTTAGAAAAAAGAAATGTGCAAGTCAACCTAAAGGAAAATAGAAATGAAAATATGCTTGCTTGATAAGATCACTCTCCTTTTGGAAGGTCATTCTGTCAGTGTCATTCTGTCCTTTCAACGTCATTCTATCCTGTCAAGGTCATTATATCCTGTCAAGGTCACTCTGTCCTTTCAATGTCATCCTGTCCTTTCAAGGTCATCCTGTCCTCTCAAGGTCTGTTTTGTCCTATGAAGGTCATTTTGTCATGTCAAGGTCTATTTTGTCCTGTCAAGATCAATTTGTCATGTCATGGTCATTTTGTTATGTCAAGATCAATTTGTCATGTCATGGTCATTTTGTTATGTCACAATTTCTGAGTGAGATCTTGTTCACACTTACTTGTTACTTGTTGTTACATTTATACAGTTAAATAGTTACACTGTTAATGCATTTATATGATGTTAAATCTTTTTGAATTGGATGGGTAGAGAAATCCTCAAATTTATTTTAGAAAGGTAGTTTATAGCTGTGTGTAACACTGGTCACGGATGGTCTTCGACAAATACATATTCAGAGCACAATAGAACTGTGGTTCATCATTTCTGTTCCTAATTTTTTTTTGTGTTTCTTTTTATATATCTTTTAGTGTTGAACATCAAATATTTCAGTCATGCAGTTAATTTGTTGCCAATTTTTGTCAATTGATAAATGTTAATCTTTTAGGTCTTCAATTTGTTCTAAGAACAAGATAATACACTGAAATTCAACCCAAAATGGTCAATCTTACAAAATTTAGGCTCTTAGCAGAATTCATGGAAATTCCTTAGTCATTAGTTAATCCATGCAATACAAATAATAAGGGTAAATTGATGATGAGCAAGTGCCTCATGAATATGGATGTGATGAACAATTACCTCCCCTGGTTTGCTATGACCATGATCATTTTTTTAAGGACAGAAATTAAGATGCTTGCTGTGTAACAGTTTACAGAAAATTAAAATTGATCCGGGTAATGTTTTAATTAAATATTCATGCAGATGATCACTTCAGTGCCTTTTGTGAAATTTCATTAAAAACAAATTAATGATTTGTATAATCTAGAAAATATTAGCTCTTACATGTGATGTTTAGTTGTAAAAAAAATCTTCAAAGTTATAAACAATTCAAAATCATAGTGAAAAAAAGTGTATTGAGAACCATGCAAATTTTATATGAAATTTCATCTGTAGTGTTAATTTCTTTAAATGTCGTTGAAAAACATGATAAAACTTCTTTCTGATATAGGTTTAAACAGATATTCTTTCAAAAGCTTGATGAAAACATTTTGAATTTAAAGAATTGTTCAAATGTTTTTTCTTTCTGTGTTTTAGTCATTAAGACTGTAACAGTGAAACCACTACCTGTCTGGCCTGTCAAATTTCATTTTCATAGAAATAGTTTTATTATATATAAAAATGTTGTTACAATAGTTTCACCATCCTGTTCTGGGTCACACTAAAATTTAATGGTTTTTTTATGGAGTAAGTATATAATTGCTACAGGTAGAGTGCATCAGAGAAATTTTTTTTTTTTTGAAAAATCATAAAAATATTTTTTGAAGCAGAGCAACAAATTCAGAAATGTTTAAACAATTCAAAAATTGCTCAGGAGGGTATTATGTCATAATGAACTAGCCCAATGACACATCTTTAAAACCATTGATATTCCTATCACCTTGGTTGTCAGTGGTACACTTCACAGTTGTAGCCCTAGTAACATCTTGTTTGGTTGATGTAGATGGGTTTTTTTCTATCAAAGTTATCGATTTTCTCATCTAAAATTTTATCTTTAATGAAATATTTCTACCTCAGCTTTCTGTTCTGTACACAACACTTTGTTAATGAGCTGTTAATTAACACTGTAGTTAGAGATTTAGCGTGTTTTACCATATTTCATGTATAGATATCATTATATTAGCTTAGTATGAGAGACAGAGAATGGATTGTATTTAACTGAGAGAGAAACTGGTGAATTATGCTTTGTCAGAAATAAAGATTTTTTTTACATACTTACAATAACACTACAACATTACTTTGGCTTGTGTTGGAATTAAGTACCTTTTTTTTTACACAGTACATATTACTTGTTTATGCTATTAAAATTTGTTTTCAGTAATACCTTCAAAGTTCAAAAAAGATGAAACCATCTCATATATGTAAAATCTGTTTGTGCTGAAATTTTTGTTACTTTGCTTATTCATGAAATATTGTATTTCAAACGATAATATTACATTTTTCAAAAACAGTTTTTTTAAAAGGAATATTGATTAATACACCCATTTATGAAGGACTTGTTACCTTAGCAAACATTGAAAGCTTTACTTTAAAATATTTAACAAATCTAGTACTGATTTGCCCCAGTAACTTACAAAGGTCAAGCTATTTGATCTGGCCCAGTAGGGAGCTGGTTATTGTAATATGCGACTGTCATGAATATGTTTGTGATTTTTTTTTTTTTTTTTTTTAATATATATATATATAGCAATATGTTGTGTAAATATCAAAAGAGATTTTTATTCTGTATTAAGTGTTTATTTGAAATGGAACAGAACATTCTTTGAAAATATCTTTACTATGTTTTTTTCAGCAATAGCATTCATTATTAATGGTGAATGAATGGCAAAGAACAAAGAGGCAAGCATTTCTTTTCAAAATCAATTTCATATTGTTTTCATAAATTCATATTTGTCATTACACAATAAACACACTTCATTCAGATATCACAGGTAATTCATATTTAATTCAGTAATTCATTTCATCATGAATACTGTGCAATATTTGTTAATTCAGTGTCGAACTAGAGGCTACTTCCCATCTGTTATACAGAGTTATCTCTCTTGTTGAATGACAGGAGTAGAATTTTTTTATCGGATTTGTTCAGTAAGGAATGAGATTTCAATTATTGAGTCCTGTCATGAAAAAACATGCAATATTCACATCAGAAATGTATGAATGCATTACATAGTAGATTTGTTTTGGTCAGAATTTGTATGTATACAATTTCATGTAGAAAAGTAATATAAGGTTATATTGCAATTAGTCATAAATTTGTTTATGCAAAGGAATTTATAATGTTTCATAAGAGGTATATATAATTTCTGTGATTCCACATTAAACTTGTTGGAAAGAATTTTTTGTGTTTGTTTTCATTTCTGTTGAACAATTGCAAATTTTACACAAAAACACTCCAGAATTAGTTGTAACTATTTCTTGCAAATGTTCACTAAATTTCTGTTGGACAAAAAATATGAACTTTGACATTAACTGTTGCCTAGCTCACCCTGATACATCTGACCGGTGAAGATATTGCTTTTAATCAGTTCCCCGGTTTCATAAGGGTTTCTTAGAACTTCTTAAGTAGAACTCTTACAATATAATGATGGCTTCAAATTTTGTGTTTTCCATTAAGATGGCTTATAATTGAGGTCATGATTGGCCTTACACAAGATCAACATTGAACTGAAAGATGGCTGTCTGAAGGCCATATTCTACTTAATATCCACAGGTAAAATGAGTCTAGGAACAGGTGAAGTCTGAAAAAGATAATATACCATTTTTGGGAGTAATGCATTTGCAACACAAATTGCCAGTTTTGAGGGAAAAAAGTAATTGAACCAGTGACATTGACTTACAGACCACTGCCTTTCATGTGACTACTGCACAGTATCAACTTTACTTCATAATAACGAAACTCAGTTTGCTTATGAATCTATGAGCAATCGGTTAGGATTCCACTACTGGTGAAACTTGCTGAAAAAAAAGATATTTTTCATCAAATTTGGGTTTCCAGATGAAAACTTCTGGTGACCTGACTTTCACTTTACTCTGCAAATTTCCTGTTAATTTAGATATATAAAAAAATTTCAAGTTGCCGTCTTGTCCATCTAACTGTCTCTCTGGTCTGTCTCTCCATCCATCTATGTCTGGATCATAACTTTGCCCAGAGTTAAGCGAGGATCATGAACTAAGGGGAAAGTGCAGTGTACCAAATTCAGGACACTGGACCACTCAGTTACAGAGTTACTGCCTTTTGTTAAAAGTTTGTGTATGGAGCATAACTTTGCTTACATTTAAACTTGGATAATAAAACTTGGTGTATACATTGATCATATAAAGACAATGTGCTGTGTACCAGATTTAGGGCCCTTCACTTAACATTTCTTGCCCCTTTTCTATTTATTGGTCATATTAAGAGAATGTGCAGTTTATGAAATACAGGGCCTGCAACCCCTTAATTAAAGAATTATTGCGTTTTGTGTCCAATAAAGTCATTTTGGAAAGCATTCATCAGTTTCACTGATACTTACCTTCCTAATGCTTTTACAAAATATTTACAAGGTTAAGAGAAGAAATGATGACCTTGATCTTTGTACCTTGCAAGTAACCTTTCCCTTTCATCGGACAACTTTTATAATGATAGGACCAAACATTGATCAGAATTAATATCTAGTGAAGTTCTGTTTTTACCAACAGTAACCATCTGCTTAATATCAGTGAATATGTCCAAGGAACACTTATGATTTTTTTTTTTTTTTTGTATTTTTTCATCATTATGTATTTTTATCTCAACATTCTGCAAGTCTTCAAGTTCCATGTGGAAAACACATTATGCCAAAACCATCACATTTATTTTACCTTTGATGTTGATGTAAAGGTCACATAATGACTTCCATGTGAATTGAGGTATGTAGTAAGCTTGGATGAGATTTCTCCAAGTTGAAAACCACTGGCCATATTGCAGATTACAATAAATGACCAAACTTTTTCAGTTTAAATCATGCACTGAAAAATCACAAGTGTTGAACATTTACTAGTATTTAGTTTGTGGGAACATCCTTATATCATATATTTTTGGGATATCACAATCCCCATGGATTAATGTGTGTAGTGTATACAAATGTCCCTGCAGGTTTTCAATCTTCCTTACCAACGGGAGGCCTCCTCACAATTTCTTAAAAACCAAGATGATAAATACTTGTGACTACTTTGTAACAAAACGATGGCAAAGGCTTTTGATATGATGGCAACTGCAAGTAACAGTTTGGGACAAATTGGCAAAATATTTACTAGGCACAATATCTTACCCATTCTAATAGCCAATAATTACCAAATGCACGAAGACTATGAGTAGCTATCCCATCTTGACAAGTGATCCAAGTGATTTCAGAAGGAATCTGTTCATGTGTCCCCAAACAACATCTTGGCTATACTATTTCATTTTTCAGCTCACTGGTTATGAGTAATGCGTCCCAACTGCATCCCATTCCAAAACTTTCGTGCTGATTTTTACTAAAATTGATCATGCTTTGAACTGAACTTTTCTTCAGAATTAATTTATTGCAGCAAGTTTTTCAAAGAATAGCAAAAACCAGATGACCAACAGGCAACAATCTTGGTGTTTAAAGTCATAGTTTAAAGCTATTTTTGAAGAAGCACTTTCATAACTAGTTTTACCTCAGTCCATAATTACACACCTTTAATTTTGGGACTGATTTGGAAAACGAGATTGCTGACAGATTACCATGTTGGATTTTGGTAATGAACATTTACTATCACCAATTCTATAGGGAACTTTCACAAATTTCTTTTGTAGGTTCCCTTGGTCTGTAATTGTGCCTGTTTGATTTTGGAACTGATAAAAAGAATAAAGTGTCTAACTGCCATCTTGCATTCTGCCAGTGAGTGTTAAGTATCATTATTTCTTGGGAAGTACTGGATGGAGCTTTCCAAAATTTCATATGTAGGTTTCCTGTTTGTCCTTTGATTTGTGAGACTTATCTGAAAAAAAAGGCTGACTGATGACTCACTTTGATTAGGCAGTTGAACAATTTCTTAAAAGGAATGTTTAAATTTCATATAAGATGAGCAAAAACAGTGGAAAGAAGAGAAAGATCCAACTTTTGAAGATCAAATGATGGCGAGTGCCAAGATCTTTTGGACTTCAACTTTTTTATCCCTAAGTACATCCTGTACCCTGCCTATTTTACATCTGCAGTATAACTACTGATAAATTTTGCAAAGGCTGCTGTCAGTGAGCTTGACAATCATTGATGGCACTTTACATCAGAGAACTTTACAAGCAGGCCCTGATTGTCATGAAACTTTTTACACCATCATCTTGTGTATGCTTATCTATTAAAAATGAGGTAACTTGCTTCAGGGACTTTTCTTATGAGTCATAACTATACAGAAATACCGCTACTTTAGTACAGGTATGCATTTTGACCTCCAGAGGTTTTTTAAATGTTCTATCACTTTTCAATTTTATCCCATTTTAACTTCATGGCTTTTTTCACAACAATCTCCTCTGAAATAGTCTCGAAGTTCTGGGCTCAAAGTTAAGATCACTGTTACCAGCAATAAAATTTAATACAACCTTGATTTCTTAAGAAACTATACAATATCCACATTCATCAGTTCATTTACAAAATCCTGAGGTCCAAGTTGATGTTACCATTACTGAAAATAAAATTTTCAAATTCTTCACAGATTTGTTTTTTAGTACTTATCCTAAAACTTCATGCACTTATTCCCAACCAGAACAATAAATAAAAAAGAATATATTGAGACCTGGCTTCAGCTACTCTTCTTTCTTTCCTTTTTTTTTTTAAGAACCTGACATTACCAGTTAAAAAAAAACAAATACCATTTAAAGTCGCAAAGTTTATTTATATTAGCTTACTGATACAACTTTTATAAAAACAACATCTGGGGCATACAAAATTAAATACCAACATATCTACTTCCTTTCAACTTCAAATAATTTCCCATCAATAATTTTAAGAGAACCATACAAGTATCAAACTTCAACACCAATAAGATCTCCTGTAATTTGTTTCCAATGTAATAACAGTGAATTGCATATTTGATATACCTACATAATTCCAAGTTACAAGTACCTTACTTTTTACTTCTAAATGTACTTTTATTTGTTTAACACAAAAATTAAGTAAATTAATAAACCAGATGGTGAACTCTATCTTACTGGAAGAAGTAAACTTTCCTATTTCAAGATATATCTGCTTCTTTTAAAGCGAGATCACGGTAAAAAGATTTTTATTAACTTATTTTTTTTAATCATTGCATATATATGTATCAACTGTATCACCTTATGAACAATGTGTTTGTGTTTACAAAATGAACGGTCTCATTTTCAAAACTATTTTGTAACGTTAATCGTGCTAAAGTTGACAGGGGTTTCCTGAACTAAAGGGTTGTCAAACTGGACATGGAAATCTACTGTGAATATCTGGATAGCACATAAACATTAATGGAAATATATCAAACATGTACACTCAAGAACAGAATTAATGTTTTTACCGTGATGTCACATTAATTCTCATGGGGCTTAATATAACCAAAAATTGTGGAGAAATCATCCTTGACCAAAATAATTTTCAACTGTTCAGCCACTCAATGCAACTTAAAGTTGTTAATTTGAAATTATGCCGATTTCTTTTTAAACTTTTTTCTTTCTGTTGCTACCAAACGGAAAACTACCATTACTATTATTCTAGTACTGTTAAATTCCTGAGTTATGTAGTTTCATCTTTACACCTTATATCCATTAAAGAATAGGGTGTGTATGGCTGCCATTTACAACACAGTTCCAATATAGGTTTGTTATTGCACCTTCTGTGTAAGGAAATATCCTTTGATGTTAACAATATTATTACTGGATAACAATCATGAAAACAGTCTTGCATCTCAAACTCAATCTTACTTGACAAAATAACTCCCCCACTCCCCTCATAGACGTAATTATTCATATTAACATGCACAAAATATCAAGGCCTTACATTGCAATGGACATACGACACACTCCTGGAAATTTTCCCTCTTCCAAAATATTTCACAATAAAAGAGCACTATTTCACTCATACTAGATCACAATGTACATAAACTTGCTTACATGGTTGATTCTACAGCTCATCTCTTATAGCAATAAGGAGAAAAATATTCATGAAGGTAAAACTTCTCTTCACTCTTTCCTTCATTTCAATTAGAAATATTTGGTTACATGTATATATCATCAATATGATCTGACAGCTTTCTTTTATAATTAGTAAAGTATTGTAACAATTACAACTATTGATCAAAGTATATTATACCTAAAATTTTTTATGAATGTGCAATAAACCAGACAGATACAGGAGGAAACGAATAATAGATGTTGGTGATATAACAATTTTCAAAGCCTTACTATAGTAAATCACACCCACAGTTACACATCTTGAATTCTATGACAGAAATGAAAATCAATAAGTTACACAAGTCCAAAACAATGAAATGTTTTATAGATTTCAAATGATAAAAATATTGGTTTAATGCAGGAATGACACTGGTGAACAATTAAATAATAAGGATTTTTAATGTTGAAACTATCTTCCACTGTCATCAGTCAATAGCTACCATTTGAGCGATTATTCTTAACCCTGGAGACTTTTAAATCCAATCAAAGCAAACATACAGCCAATCAACAAATCATTTACAGCCAATACCATCTTGGTAAAAATCATCTCCAGGTATACAGAATAAGAGTTAAACACTGCAGTTTCAAACACTAAAACATAATATTGGGAGTCTTGTACAATTTAACTTCAGTGGTCATGAATTTTCTCAGTCAAAGGTAATTTTTTCTGCTTTCAGACACACTTCAATATCAAAATTGTCCAAGAGGTTTTGCTGCTGTGCTACTTGATCTGCCCATGAAACCTTTTCCTCCACACAATTCTCATTGTCTCTGTCTCCATGTTCAACAGAGATAACATCACATTCTTCCATACAAACAGATGGAGTTGAACTACGATCTCCAACCTCAGAAGCACTCTCAGATGATGTGTCTGCAAACAGACCTTCCATGCTGGAAAAATAAAAAAAAATGGGAATGAAGAAATTTCGAAGTGTAACAACTCAACAAAACGATAACAGACCTTATAGTATATATCTCAACCCATCCACAGAGAATTCACAAATTGATAATGGTTATAATGCATGAAAGTTAAGACTTTTCAGGGCATTTTTTTAATACTTTATTGCAGGTTTTTTAATGAAACTTTAAAAAGATTACAAAAGATACTTGCATCAAGCCATCACTGCAGATTTTGGTTTACAAAAATGAATACACCAATTTCAGTATCTGACAAGATTAACACCGCCCATCCAAAATGCAAGCAGACATGGTTTGTCAACTGTAGTTTTGAGTATACATGAATTCTACTTGACTAGTAAAAGGCTATAAACAAAAGGTCATACAATCTGGATTTGATATATGATGCTTGAAGTTGAGAGGGTGATCTACAAAGACATCCAGTAATGCTAGCATGGCACCTCTCATAGTACAAATTGGCCTTACAATTAGGCAGGTGCAATTGTGCAAAATTGTAACTTGCATCCCTGTGTAAGACTGCATTACAATAAATATTCACTATATTTAATTGTATTTGAAATAATATTTGAAAGTATTTTTTTACCAATTTAACATACAAGTGAAATACATCAATACAGTATCGGTTATTTCTTTGATTCACTTAATACTAATTGATACAAAAATGTTTCTTGGAATTAACGAATGTCAAAACTAGTAGCAATGTTTTTTTTGGGTCAGGTCCACATTATAGTGATGGGACGATGATCAGATATAATCTATTACCTAATCGTTTAACCTCATTTTCTTAATTGATCATTGGTACCTTCAGATGTTTTAGCAAAAATTAAATTCATATGAGTAATAAATATGCCATTTGCCAATGGTATTAATTTTTTGTTAGTTCTAGGTAAGCGAGATATTGAATATTAAAGACATAGCCAGACAATTATGTAATTGATTAACTACATCAATACGCCTATAAGTTTTTAATTGATTATTGATTGCGGGTTAATTGTTTGATGATCTGACAACAGATAGCCAAACTCCCAATTTTGACCTCTCAAAATTTCACCATTAGTATGATTACCTCTGTCCGGGGGTAGAAGAGTTGTTCCAGCGATGCAGCCCTATTCTCCATAATCTGACCTGTTGATCCCAGGACCGGCGACTACATTTCTGGCCCTTGTCTGGTGTTCTCGGGTAACCTTTCTGTCTCTCATGTCTGATCACAACAATATATCAAAATTGTTATAAAATATAAATGATACAAAATCATTTAAATTTGAATTAGTATATTAAATATGTTGAATTCCTGAAAAAACAACATTCCATTGATCTTCCGTCTTGAAGTTATCCCATGGCTAACTACTGATATTTCAAATGTCACATGTCAATAAAGTAATAAGAGTTCTGTTGAGATAAAGCACTTCACTGGAAATTTTGTTCCACAAATGGATGAACTGATACCTTAGATCATACAAATTAACTTCTTTAAATAACTCAAATTTTTCTTGTGATTACCTCTTGATCTGTTCAATATAGTTGTCATATGCAATGGTGTTTTTGCCGTAATCAAGAGCCTTTTGACGCCTGTTGAGTATTACTTCATTCTTCTCCACTTCAGCATCCGTTCTACTGTTTTCTCTAAAAGTTACAAGGAACAAGATGTTTTTGTTTTAAGAATTCTGGACAATTTAATCATAAAAACACTTTCGCAGCCTTCCCAGCTACATTCAAGCAATTTTGGGTTTTGATTTGAACAGTCTGCAAAACTGAACGAAACTGATCATATTACTGCATTAGAAATCTTGTTACTGATGTTTTGCTGACTGATTTTGAAGTTTATATTTCCACTTATGAGATAGATTAAGGCTAAAAAAAACTCTGAAATATACTGGTAACTTATTTTAGAACTTCCTGAATAAAAAATTTCTACATGGAAATTGGAAATGTTTCTACCATTTAATTCATAAACATGTAGACAGCATTTTAAAGAATACTTTATAAAATATATCAACATTTTGGAAAAACATGCAACATGCACAACAAAAATTCTTAATCATTTCAACATCAACATTAAAGTGCGTCAGTAGTACTTGGTATCTGGTAAATGCCTACAGCTTTTCCCATTCATGATATGACTGAAACGATTCATTGTGACATTTTAATAGTGTATTCTGGCTTCCTCCCACAGTAAAACCTTCCATTCAGGCCAACAAGAGTAATTAATATAAGTTTCAGTTAGTTATGAGTTAATATTCTAATTATACTTCAAATTGGGCTCTTGTTCCGATATATTATCTTGTTCCGATATATTATCTTGTTCCGATATATTATTGTATTGTGGTCAACTTTTATTGTTCCTATTTAAGTCAAAATTAAATATTACAAACATCAAGTGTACCATATCAAAAATAATGACATCTAAGTTTGTGTCATCATTACTGCCTTATTCATGACCAACTTAAAAATCTGAAAGGTAGGAAAACAATATTAATTCTGTTACAGATTTTATTTGAGGTCATATATAAAAGGATACTTAAAACATTTAAAACTATTCTTTTCTTTGAAATGGCAATAAATGCTGCTACAATCAGTACAAAAAAGTCTGGATTAATCAGAACCGATTTTGTACCATTCTGAAATACTGATCTAACAAGGCTAAACTACTCCAGTTTAACAGGGTACAAACCTGAAGACTTTCTTTGAGTTTTTCTTGTTATCTGTCATCTCCAACTTCCTACGAAATCTACAACATCATCATACAGAACCTTACAATAAATCATGATAAGTTTAGTTTTACGATATACGTTTAAAATCATAATTATTATTATTAATTAACTGCTGAGGTGTTGAAATCCATTTTAATCAACACACTGGTAACGTATTTCAGGTCAGTATGCTTCATAACAAGATGACTTGTATATCAAAGCCCAGATCAGCCAATAACTGCATTCGATGGTTCTCAAACTTTTAATGTAATTTATAACAAAAACCAAACAATTAAAAAAAAACTCCCAACTAGGCATAGCCCAAAAAAGGTACAAGGCAAAATAAAAAACACAGATTATTATCTAAACATACCTCCTGCTTTCTTTGTCACCAGTGGCCTGACTAGTTGTCGTGTTTGTTACATCTCTGTTTACCTCAGGAGTGAATCTGAAGGAAAAAAACTTTCAAATAAGTTTTCCATCCACATATCTTTGAAGTTATTATTTTCAATTTTGGATATATATGAAAGATGCAGAGACTTGCCTACAACTTTTTTGTATTGCAATTCAACATATCTAAAATTTGGTGATTGGTGCTGAGTGTCATTAAATGTTTATAAAGACATTTTTTTAGATATATAAAACAAACCGGCAAGATCCTAAATCAGGAAAATCTTCGTCCTTCAAACTGATCTTTGTGAACTCCTGGTTGTCCAGCTCCTTCCAACATGCACGTCGTTCTCTAAAAACCAAAAAAGTAAAAAATCTTAATTTTAAAAATTATATAAAATATTATGGGGACTGTAAAATATCTTGACAAACACTATAAGCTGATTCGTTTCTTTCGTGTCCTTTGTATTACCTTCTGTCATCCAAATGTTTCGAGACCCCTTGGCCTTGCTTTGGGTTAAGTGGACTTCTTAGAGGACTCAGTGGACCATTTGAAAAGTATCGGTCATTTCTGTAAATATTGAAGAATGAAAGGTTAAACATGTATTCTTCCATGGATGCTACATGCAAATTTGTTACATGTATCCTTCCTGTATTACTTGTATTATTCTCATACTTTATCAACTTTCCTATTCTGACACTCTATTTACTTTCCTGTATTTGTGTGGTCTGATTTCAATGTATATCAGAACTCAGTAGTGAGCAGCTGATGATCAAAAACAGATAAAAATCAGTTATTCATTCAAAAGCAGCACTGATAATTTGTTGTGATTTTCTGTCCGATTTCAAACACTAAAATTTATCCATTAACCATAAAAAATGTCTTAATGCAACAAATATGCAATGAATCTACCGTTTTGTTTTTTTCCTTGATTATTTTCATTTCTTTAATTCTATCAAGAAAAAATTAACCACAATTTTTTTTTTAATTTGCTTTGGTAAAGTATAAAGACAAAAGCACTACTTTCTGCCTAGAGTCTAAATGGATTATGTTACAATAGAATAATTATTATAGTGGTCACAGTTACATTAAGTTTTTAAGTAGCCATCACTTCCAGTAAACATCTATTGTTGGTAATTATTTACTTTATCATAATATAATTCGACACATGTCAAAAGATTCTGTCCAAGCGATTTTGGCTACTTACACGATCAAGTCCTTATTCCAATTGGCGTATAACAGGTTAGTTTGCGTATCTTACACAGCGTTTTCCTTGACCTGTTTATTATGCTGTATCAATATTTAGATTTAACTGATTATGCAAACACTTCAATCTTCTTTTTTTTTTTCTATTCAGGAAAATGATTTTATTCAATTACTCGTAATTTTTAATTTTCCATTGATCAATTTCAGCATGGAATGTAGTACCTTTACATTAACTTATACATTGGTACATGTTTTAGAGTTGTTTGAATGTTCACCCTGCCGGTCGAGAGGATGCCTTTTAAGTTTCAGTTAATCCTGCCATTCGAGAGAACGTTCAAGTTCATCTCGAGATGCTCATAAATCTATAGACATTATCGACGTAACGAATTTTAACCAAATTCAAATTCAATAAATCCACTAACATGATAGAGTATCAAATGAATACACATTATCAATATATTTTACTCTCTTTATGGTACATGGAAAATAAATGCCACATTGAAAGCGCCAAAAAATTCTGGACTTTGTTTTTGGGAATGAACAATGTTTACCTTTCTATGTTGTCGTTTCTGGTGGCCCTTCTTCTGTATGCTTGCCTCTGCCGTCTTTCGTTTCTTGATGTGCTTTCCGACATTTTAAAGATTTTTGAATATACAATAAGAAGTGTTTAAAAGAATTAACGATAAGTTTATTACTAACCTAAAACGTCCCTACGAGTCAACCCTATCAACAAATGCCCAGCATATTTCGCGCCAGCTCCCTACGCAAGCGCATTTCTCCGAATACACTTTATGAATATTCATTAAGTATTGGCCTCGTAAAGACCTCGTTCAAAATATTCTTTTATTTGCAATTTATTATTTTCTTATTAAGACAAAAATAAAATTATCAAATAGATTATTTTTTATTTTCAAATAGTCAAAGAAGGTGCTTGCCACCGAAACAACTTCCTGTCTACACATGCTAAGAAACGCGTATTCTGATTGGTTAATTCTGTGTTGTTTTTCAAACTCTACGGCGGCGGCCTATCTGCCTGGACACATCTAATGCTATGAACAATAGAACATAAGAAAAACACCAAACGATGATGTCCAGGTAGATTCCAAAGAAGTAGACTTGACTCACCACCTACATGTCGTCCTGAGTCTGTTGTTTATCTGGGACGTGCTGTGTTTCGAACAGATAGCGTGCGTGTGTTCCAAAATACTAGGTTTTCCAACCCTGACAACACGACACTCGACCGCTTCGCCAGCTGATAAGTTGTTCTCACATTGGTGCTAACACATCTATATGGAACTGTGAATGTTCGTGGCTTGGACTTTTTGGATTAGTGGTTTACATTTTCGGTGTGGGCCAAGTAATGGAAAATGTCGAAAAGTAGACATGAGCATGATCGACCTCCCCCATTGCATCTGCCTTTGAGAACTTTAGCAACTAGCAATACACTATCGCCTGCATTTGGCTTTGGAAACTTAGGTCCAGTAAAGATGAATTCTCCTATGTCAAACCTGGCTATCAATCTCAGCGAACTGTCAACAGGAAGGTAAGTAAATAACATGCTTATTTAGGTGAATGACACCTCGTGCTAATGATATTCTGATACTGATACTTATATTTTATTTAATGCTTGCAAGTTGTTTCTCAATATTTTGTATATTTAAGCTTATTGATATACCTTATTTACTGTTTACGGATTTCTACTTAAGACTCAATGTTGCATACATAAATTTATTAGATTGATTGAATAGGTTATTCACGTTATTGTGTACACAACAATATAACTTTCTGGTGAGTGACATTCATTTACCATGCATGATTGAACACTCAAATCATTTACTAATAGTTATCAACATTTTGTGATTTGTGTATTCTTGATTGTAATACTCTAGCAATTTATTTTCATAGGCACAAAAAAAAAAAAAAAAAAACATCACCAAATGTAACATTCAAGATACATGAGCTGGTTTTCATTCTTTCATCCAGAGGCACTCCAAGAAGAAAGCTGTCATTATCAAGCACCGATACACCATCTTCATCAAGCCACCCAACTCCAGAAAGGATGAGTTCTACAGAATCAGGTAATATACAGTTTATGCAAAACAATATTTAAGTAACAGGAATCAACATATAAGGTGAGATTAATATTTGTCAAGCTATTGTTACAAAATTTTAATCATTTTCATTATACTTTTAATATTCTATGACTAAGTTACATATAAACTGATTAGTATGAAATAGATGCAGAGGCTGTATTGACTGGTATGATATATTGACACTGATTATAGTATATTGATTTACATATGTATGAAATTAAAATTTATTAAGAAAACCTTAGATGTAGGCCTTTTCCTATTGTATGTTACTTTGCAGGTCCTTGTCAATTTTTATTGTTCTTCATTTAATTAATAATTAATGTTGATTGAAAAACTATCTTGCCCATAAAAATGGAAAGACATCGATATATGCCATTTGAAACAACCTTACATCCCTATATTTTGCACATTTTGTAGAAATCAATATACACCATCTCAAATGACAACATATGATCTTTATATAAGTATATTTTGTGCATTTTGTTTTATGAATTTGTGTTTTTGATAACCTATTTATAGTTATAACTGACATATTTTAACTGTGGAGATGATTTTTAAAGATCCAAGTAGTAGAGGTTTCAAAAGAAAAAATTGATGAGGGATACAAATACACTGATTCAGTGTTTGCTTGCAAAATTTTCATTGCCCCATACAAATATACACACTTGTAATTGATATTCAATTAATCCAGTTTACATGACCTAATTCCTGAATACATTTGGTATATTTGCCCCACCCCTTAGCTTACCTTGTCCAGTTTTGCAAGCAATAATGATTGGCTTGGGGAGGAAATGGGAAGTAAAGTGAAAAAAGGATGACAGATGGGCCAAGGAATTTTATTGCATTTACTCCCAGTTTTAACACCCATTAGAACACTCAGAGGTATGAAAACCTTCATAGCTTCAGGGCCAAATGGAGTCCATTAGGATACCAAAATTGTTTCTAATAATGTACACTTTACCTATGTGATGTGCTCTTGACGTTTTGCTTCCTACTTAACTTTATGATATAGGTAAACATAATCACCTGTTCCTACCTATGCCAAAATCTAGATACAATTGCAATTAGATGATAAATGGATAGCCATTACAAAATGTTGTTTCCTGCTCTATTTTAATCAAGATTCATTAATTAGTTATTGAATTTCATATCTTCTTTCACAACACTTTTGATCTCTATAAAAAAATGTTTCATTTGACATACTGGAAAAGAATGGTCTCAAATTTTATGCCATTACAAATATTAAAGAAAACATAAAATTGAATTGACATTTGATATTGGTTCCATGATACAGTTAACAAAGTATTGTTACTTTCCACTTGATGTTGATGCTATAGAATAAATACTACTTGATATTTACATAAATATTTCATTTCTTCTTTGACATAAATCTTAATGACCCATTTGAAATATTATTTTACTGTAAGTAATCTTGTTAAAAGTAAGTGATATGTTTGTGTATGGCTGAAAAGCAAAATTAAAATAAATGTTACAAGAAGTTATGTCATGGTCTGTGTCCTACCTTATTGTTCTTTCTGTCCTTATTGTCAAAATATGTTTTTGGTTGCCATACCCCCTGAAGTTATGATTTTCAAGAGAAGTCAGTGATGCAATAAATTGCTTGCCTAAAAATTCTTTTATGGACGAGCAGAAAATGTATAATGATAGTATCATATGGATTATGTCAATATTACCCATTGTTAAAATTATCAATTTTTTGCATCTTGAGTCACTTTTGACCCTGAGGAGCTCTTGCAGTTGTAAATGGTACATTTAGTCTTCAAACTAGCTAGATGACAGTTGAAGTGACAGCTACCCACACCCAGTGCTACCTGTACAACCAAAACAAGTTTTATATAACCAAACTTACATATTTTGCTTGGGGTGAAGTTATATATTTCAATAGTTCTAAAGAACAGTTATATGAGGTATTGGCATCACACGATTAGTGGTTGACAAGACTCACTGGACAATGAAAAAAGTTCAAAGAGGTCCTGTCTGATCTGTCATTTTAATATTCAAAGATTTTATTCAAAAGGTGTCAAAATTTGAAAGTTCTTTTGTTGATATGAATCCTACCTAGCACCTGTAGTGCAAGTTTGTAATCACTTTCACAGTTAAGTTTGGACTCTACAGTATTATTCATTTATCAGTTAGGACATCCATCGAAAGAACATCACTGAATAGTTTGGTGAGAAATTGTGTTAGAACAAATAGGTACAGTGTTGTGTTTTTTACCTTAGATATCCTGTTACTATAGAGTTTACTGTGTATCATTTTGAAATATTTTGAATTGTTTTATCATTTGTAGAAAATGTTTTGGTATTATTCATCTACTTTGAAATTGATTACATATATCATCTTATTTCAGGATGTTTTGTGGATTCTCCAACCCCTCTTGACTCACCGACACTGGAAATGAGGTAAAATTCATTTGGGTTTTATAACTAACAAGGACTTTGTGTCTGAAAAATATTTCAGCGATATCATGACACTTCTATTTCCCCAAAATATCTTGGGCACAGGCTGCTGTAAAGTCTTTGTTATGAAAAAACACTGCCTCATTGTGAGCTTATTATATATTGTAGAGATCAATGGCCTAATCATTAATGATTTTGGTCTCAATTGTCTCTGGCTTCAGATGACAAGATACAAGTGCTCAGTCTAGACTTCTCCAGCTGGTCAACCTCACCCACACTTCAGGGTCTGATCACTACAAGGCAGAGCCAGAAGTGTCTTATCTAATAAACGCCCCAGTGTATATGCATGACCCGTCTTATCCCAGTTTCTGATAACTTTGATTTGATCATTGAACTTTTGGTATCCACTTCTATATATATTTTTTTTCAAATTTAGATCATTTGTTTGCTGGAAAATTTATTTGGATTTGTAATTTTCCCATAGATACTGAATACCAGGTGTGCTTATTAAGTGCAATGATGTAATCAGGATGTTAATACATGCACTTGTTCATTCCAATTAGCTGATTTATTTGTATAAGAGGCAAACAGATGCTTGAAATGTTAACACTTATTGAAAATGAGGTAGCTTGATTTGAAAATTGAGGTAATTCTGTTTAAAAATAAGATTGTAACCATTAAGGCCCAACTGATAAAATTCAGGCGACAAGGTTATTTTGATTTTTTTTGTGCCAGTATATTTGTGGATGGCTTCTCCTGTTTAAGCATGATTAGCTGAGTCAGTGCATATGAAATATATTGACTATTAAGGAATGAATGGTCATGTTTAACCTCTGGTCAATAGTGATTGATGGGTAGTGACCAAATCATTGCATCATAACTACATGTTGAACATTGACCAGGGAAATGTCCTTTGATCAGGAAATCAATTTTCATTTATGTAATACTTGTAATAGGGTTTGTAGGACTACTTCCTATATATATATTAGGCAATATTTTATGTTACAATGTTTCCAGTGTACTTCTCGGCAATAACTCTGGCTTTCATTCAGTGCTGCTCTGCACCCCTTGTTTACACATCTTGTATATTATTACCACCCTGTGTACCAGATAGAGTTTCAGGCTGAACAAGTATGGTATTGTAATATGAAATTCCTAGTTCTTGAGTTCTTTTCTAGTCAGGACTCTTAATGTCACAATGTGAGTTAGATGTATTTAAAAGTTAGGAATAAAAAAGAAAAAGAAAAAATTTAATCCACACATGTACATCGAAATCCATGCATTTTGTTCTTTAGATAAATTGTTGATAAAGAATTTCAATTTTAAAAACATGATGAAACATGATCAAAAAAGTTAACATGATCTTGTTTTAGATAACTTCAGTTAATTTGATTTTATTCAGATTTAATTTTGTACATGGTTACACAAATACACTACCCAATATTATAAAAAGAAAGTTTAATTAATTTTAAACTTTCAAGTCATGATATTTTACTTTTAAAATGATATAGATATTAAAATTTTACACAAAAAGTATCTAGGGGCCAAATAGGGGCTTAGTTTATTATGCCTGTTGGGTATGTACTATGTAGCAGTCATATATTGCAGTATCATAATCTTTATGCCAAGATTATGTTCAGGCACAGGGAATATTTATGACTTCATTAAGGATTATAAAGGCTTATATTTCTCTTGTCATGGCTGGTGTAAAAATGATACCTAAACCTTGTGCAATCTATGACTGGTAGATGGTGATTTAACTTGACCCCTGGTCAGTAATAGTCACTTATTGATGGATTGATATTAACCTACCTATTGCATCATAGCCAGGTAGGATGACCAGGTGATTCCAGAACTACACAGTCTCTTTGATCAGAGAATCAATTTCAAGTGGGCATAGTATCTGTAAGGGTTGGTTGTAAATTCTAACATACTACTTACTTCCTACTTTGGATAAGATTACATCACTGAGCCAAGGACTACTATTTTTCTTCAAAAGATCTCTATAATTTATTGGGGTCATAAACACCAAAACCAAAAGTCAAATTCAAGGTGACTCTGGGGTCAGTAATACCATTCTTTTAGGTCTATTCATTTTAAACTTTGAAGACTTTGTAGAAAGTAGTTTTTGTATTTTATGGAATTGATGAATAATTACCAAAAAAATGTCTAGTTTATTACATAACTCTTTGAAAATGAAAAATTTTAATAACAAAGAAATTCAAAACATCAGAACGTCAGTACAAAATATTACATTTTAAGCAGGATTTGATAAAAACAAACTTCCAGAACAAAACAATATTCTTTTAAAAAATCAGAATTTTTTGCACATTTATTTTCCTTTTTTCTGTTTGAAACTTCACATTTGCTATGAAAAGCTTTCCAAGAATTTTACATTTTGATGATATATTAAGTGAGTCAGAGGTGTACATGTGTTTCCTATGTCACAGTAATTAAGCCTACACAGACCTATTTTTCTCCTAATGTTAATTAGAGGCCAAGGCTAATGTGCAAGTTCCCCCCCAAGTGGATTGTGCTTTCCTGTAGTACTGTTGACACTAACCCCTGGGGAGTTTGAGCTGGCTACTTTGGGGCAGTATCATGTAACAGTCTTATACACAGGTTGTATATTGCATCAAGTGTCAACACAATCCTAATTCTGAATGGAGATCTTTAAATGAGTACATTGTCTTTTTTCTAATTCAAACATGCACATTTGTTGAGTAATTCTCAATATTCCTTTTCTAATGCTACATTATTTGTTACTTTACCACATAGGATCATTTTCATTTTACATCAAAGTTTAACAAGTATAACCTCACCAGATTTCACTGAAACAAGAATAGTGGTTGTGTACAATTCACATTAAATAAAGATACTACCACATTGTATTTTCTAAGTTTCCTCATCATGTAGGAATTTGAAGAAAAGTTCAATTGCATGCTTCAGAATATGTCCCTAGCAAACATAAACTATGACAGATTTTTATCTTTCTATTATTATGAAACAATTATTAATCACAGTAAAGATTGTTGAATCAGATGGTGGTAAATAAAGTTAATTTGTATGTATATAAGGCTCTTGAAAAATTGTTAAGAACATAAGTGTTGAAAAGTAATTTGGGAAAATAGACATCTCAAACATAGATTACTCAGTGAATTGAGTCATTGTTTGATTCATAGAAACCTTCAGACAATGGCTACAGTTGTTGTGTAGTTATCTCCCTTGTCTGGGTCAGGGGATGTTTAATGAAGCATAAAATGAGTTCATTCATCTTCTGCTACAGCTATTATGTCATACTGGACAAGCCTGCAGACAGGGTCAGATTTATGGCCTTTTAATACTCCTAATCCTTCTGACCAATCACTGGCTTGGCTTTCTCTTGCTTTCCTGTTTTCTGTTGAAATCTAAGAAAGCAGCCCCACCATGCCTGTGTTTGTATTGGAGTTAGGTGGATTAGGAAAGTTTATACTACAGATAATCTTATTTATTCCATTCACCAAAGTTTGTCCCCCTCAGTTGGCAGATGGGGTCCAATCACAACACTCCTACACAAGCCCTTTATTTAAAAGTTTCCTAGCCCCTGATAAGTGACCCTGTCCCCAAGCTGTTACTTCACACACCATTTTGTGAAAGCCCTAAATAAAGAATCTGATAGGGCCTAGCTCTAACTCAATCCTGATTGTGAAAAATCATTGGCCTTCCATACAGATAGGGGTTGATAAAGAGGACTGCAGAGAAATCTGTCCTCAATTGTCCTAATCCCATTCATAAAAATGTAAATTGGATCACACTGCAAGCTGCTAGATGGTAGCAGATGTTCCAATAAATACCAGAAAGGTGCATGACCTCCTCTAAACCTTTGTGTAGCATACAGGAAATGGGCAGAGAATGAATGTCATTGTCAACAGAAATTGCTAGGTCTTCAGTGTGGAAAGTGTGCCCATTGATTAAACAGAAGAAAGTGCAACTGGTCATTTGGTCTGACTGTCCATTTGGCTGTCTTATTTATTATTGTCATGTCTGAATAGTTAAATGACATGTTTTAAATATTTCTGCATGAATACATTAAAGTTTGTATGACTTCAAAAACCTGCAGATGGAAACCTATATCATTTGATGCTAATAAAAAAAGACCATGCTAATAAACTGCAGTTCTAATTATAGCATAATATTATGATAATGCCACTAAGATTTGTCATTCCTACCTCTCAAAAAAATTTCTTGTTTTCTGAAAGTTTATTTGTACTTCGAAAACTTAATGATTTTGAATTATGCTTTAACTGAATTATTATATAATCCAATTAGCTTACAAAGAGCTTTCAAACAAAGGTTTCGTATCACCTGTCTATAGATAGGTAGTAGACACACACTGGTAATACATGTACTCATACCGGTGTGTACCTGAGTGACAGCAGGTGAGCCAATCACAGCCCCACCATCTGTCCTGCTAATTAAAGTGTGATGCTAAAAATTACCTACCTGTGTACATAGCTAGTACTAAGATAAATGACAGCTAGGGCTAAATTAAACTGTTTTTCTAACAATGGAAAGACTTATCATCAGGAAACCACACAGATTATCTGCCTTGAGTATAATCTCTGGCAGACACCAGATTTCAGAGGTGATTTGACATTTTACATTTGCCTATTTCGACCTCTGACTGAAATAGAAGAATTGTAATTTGACAGTTCACTTTTGTGTTAAAAATTACAAAATGAGATTGTGAAAATGATCAAAATTGAATTCCTTTGTCTTGTATTCATTCTATGTCTGACAGAAATTTGTGCTGCATCACTGGTTATGTCTGTCACAATGTACATTTTTACATGGATTATTGCTTATTAAGATATAAACTATAATTCAACTATAATGCCTATGACATTGTTCAATCATGTTATCATATCAACTAAATATTTAATGTCTTGTAGGTTCTACTGTCTTGTAGGTTCTACTGACACAGATTTATTTTGTCTTCCTCTATTGCTCCAAAAACAGTTGCTTCCCTTAATTCTTTTTCTTTCAGGAAAACATATCTGAGGTAATATTATGGTATATTATTATATGAAATTTTTGATCAAATTACTGCCAATTATTGTCTGAATCACAAGTCTATTTTTTTTGTTTTTTTAATGTTTCAGACTGGTATTTCTGGGGGGAAAAAGATATTTTTGTTATTTGATGTGGTAGATATATATAACAATAATTTGTTTTGGGATTAAGTCTATGGGCCTGAAGGGAAGAACTGATCACTGCATATAATTTGATAGGAAGGATAAAAAGGCTCCCTCAAGGGAACATTACCAGCTTAGAATTCATACATAGGAAATATGGATAAATGGGAGTTTGATTTGCCTGTTCCTGCTTAATTCTGATGATCAGGTTGCAGAACAAGTATTCCATAACAACACCTCTACAGGCAGACCTTGTAATCTGGGATGAGTGGAGTCCTGCTAAGTTTATTTTCACCTGTATGAAAAGTGTGCTGGGGTTGACACATCTAAATTAACACCTGTGTGAGGTTATGCCTGATCAGATAGCATAGTATTGTTATATATCTATTTCATGTGGGTGCTTTAGATAGCTTTGTCTAAGACCTGTTGCCTTGTCTAAACACCCACCCTAGGATAGAAACACAAAAGCTATCCACATACACATCAAGTTTTCTCAACATTTCACACTGACCAGAATATGTAAAGAATTGTCCATTTTATTTTACTCATACATACATGGAAGCCAGAACTTTTGACCATTGTCAGCAAATGATAGTTAAAACACCAACAGCCTGTACAAATATTACTGAAACGCCATGTGAATGTTTGGAGCAATGGTGGAGTTTATCCAACATTTTACATAGGCAGCAGGTCAGAGACAAAAAGCTTTTTCATTGCTCACCTGTCTTTCGAAACCCAATCAACACTAGGTAAATAAACAAGTGTTTTATGATACAAAGTAGCATGTTGGTCTGTGTGTGAAGGAACAGTGGCAAAGTTTGTCTAATATTTCTCACCTATTGTCTGCCTTTGATCATTTTAGTACCATCATAAAAAGTAAGACATGATGGAATTTCTGAAGCCAATCATTGCTTTCTAAGTCAAAAGTATGGTAAAATATACTAAAATGTTGTTGCCATCATCACTGAACTTGATACTGACACATATACTTCACTTTTTCCAATATTGGTAAATCCAGAAATCAAAAGTCACACAAACTCAACATTAAAAATGACATAATTTTCAAAAAGATACTAGGAGAGTGAAAATACTGAATGAAACTTGGAACATATTACTCAATTTAAGAATTTCACACGTCAGTGTCAGATATGTAAGTTGTAAATGCCAAATACTACTTTAAGAGGAAAGTCTATCTATTAATTGGATTATAGTTTTTACCGGTGATAATTATATTACAGTTATACCTGTCTACCTGGAGTACAGGCATCATGCCTTAATTAGATTGATCACCTGATTAAAATTACCTGTCCATTGTTGGACCTGGTGCCCATGTAATTGGGTAGGTGTGACCTAGTTCTCAAGGTGAGAAATTTTCACCTGACTGTCTCATCTCTTGTCTTTCCAGCATGCACAGATTTGCCAAGAACGTCAAACCAGATATACCACCTGAGGCTTTTACTAAGTGAGTCTACCATTTTTTGTAAAATATCCTGTTATAATTTGATATTTATTGGTGACAAGTACAATATGGATATAAGTTGTATTACCTGAATTCAGGTGTGATAATTATGGCTAGATGTGGGAAAACAGGGAGTTGAGATGTTTGTATGGTGTTTGAAGTTTTATTTTGATAAGTAAGTGTAAGCTAAGGATGTGTGTCCAGTGAGTGTCCAGAAGACAACGGAAGAGGTCAGTCAGAATTCTAGAGCAAATGATTTACTAGCCAGTCCTATTCTTTCTCAATCATCACTGGCAAATCTTGAGGAGTTTTCTTTTGTTTCCTGGATCAATTGATTACCTAAATGAGAAGTGTAAAGTCATCTTTAGATTTGAATTTTATTTGGAGCAGAATTCTTTAATATTTCATGAGGTTTGTAGCTTTTATTTACATTTCTTAATTTTAGGATCATTTGTATAAGTTAAACAAATGAGATAGAGTTGTGAGCACTGAAATAGAACATCATTTCCTTGTTATCTGTTTCGTAAAACACATTGATATGTTTTCTAAAATAGATTAAATACTTCGTCAGCATCAGTTTGAGTTGGAAGTGGGGAAGGGAAGGTTTGTAACCAAATAGATTGATAATTCCAGTCTTGACACTGGCATGCTACTGTGACATAGACTTGTTGACTAGGAAAAGTTTGATGCTACCTGCGGTCAGAGACAGATTGTCTAGGATATGTGTACTAGACAGGTAAGGGAGACTTAAGGTAGCCCTACCTTACAGGAAGACATTTGCTTAATCCCCAAATCCCAGATACACAGGGCTACTGTGGCTGTCAAAGGTGATGTTAATTAAAAGCCATTTACTAAGGTAATATATGTCAACTGACCAAAGATTATCAATATGCAAGGAATACCTGGCTGACCACACAGGTAAATGATGTCGGATTAATGTACCAGAGATTTATGTAATACGCTAACTGGACAGTGGCTACTGTGCTTGCCATAACTGTTTGAAGATGTCACTTCCTCACAAAATTACTTTGGCTTGATTAATACGCATAAAGATTAGCTTCTGTGACTGACTCTAATTAGCTGATACCTGTAAACCCATTAGAACAGGAAAGAAGGTAGCTCATTTGCATATTTCACACCTGAGTTTTTCTTTCACCAATAGGAAGAAGACAATCGCCTTCAGAAGAATACAGTCAATGCCGGTAAGTAATAGGAAACAATTTATTGCCATTAGTGGACACTGGTCTCTTTGGACATATTTACCTGTACTTAACATTTCCTGAGATACCTAAGTGTTAATTGATGAAAGGGACAGATTTCCTTACCTATGATATCCTGTGTTGTGACATGTGGGTGAGTGTTGTTGCTTCCTGAAGGAAACTTCCTGTGGAAATGCTTGTTGATTTTGTGATATATTCATTTAAAGATTTTTTTTTTTAATTTTGTTAAAAAAGGATTAACTTAATGATATGTTTAATGGATAATTTCAGATTTGTATTTGAAGTATAAAGTTTTCATAGACAAAAAAGAACAAAATTAACACATGAAGGCTTTTGATTTTGTTGAATTACTGATTCATAAAAATACATGTAGGTGTTTTTCTTATTAAAATTGAATGAATAAATCAAAATTATTAGTATATTTAGAAAGAATAGATCCTTTACAACTATCAGATATGTAAAGGGTTTTCTGTGTATTTTTTTGTTTTGTTTTTGTTTTTGTTTGCATCACCATGGTTAATGGTGTTGATTCATGTTATTGTCAACATCTTATTGAATATTTTGTGTTTAGATCCATCGCTCAGAAAGTATGTGTTCAACTTAAATCAAATCAAAGTGAGATCAGGTAGTGAATGCCTAACCACATACAACATTTATAAGATATCTTGCTGGTTATAGATGCAGGGAAACTGCACTCTGCATTTAGCTGAAATTCACTTTAAAAAGACCCTACATAAGGTTCATAAAACTTTGGTAAAGTTCTATACAACCCCAGGACTCCTGGTTTTGTTAAGGAGGAGTAGGAGTTGATTTGTGATAGGAGCTCTTGATAATTTGAACAGAAATTAGAGGAAGAAACCCAAAATATGGATAAAAATGATTTTTTTAAATCATGGGGTTAACAAGATATTTTACTAGAATAGGCCTAGAAATGTTATTAAGTGGAGATAATATTAAGACTGTTCTTATCAAACCTAGAATAAAGGTATATTGCACTGTAGACATCTAACTTAAGGAATAGACAGATTTCTTGTTTTTTTTTTTTTTTTGAGAAATTACTTCAAGATCATTATTAAATGCATAGTGAGTTTGTAGGATTGTAACATATACTGTAAAAAGCATCAGTAGAACATTCTTCTACTTTCTGCAGGAGAGACTTTTATGAACATTTTAGTGGTAAAAATGTCATTAATCTCAATAATGTTTTTTCTTTACTGTACATCATTTATTTAAAACGGCAATACATTTTAAAACAAGTCTACTGTAAACTTCCTTTACCTTACTAACAAAGTGGGACAGAGAAGACATTTAACTACAAGTGATTCTTGTTTATCTATCATAATAATATATAGAATCACATTTACAATATCAAAGGAGAGATATCTACTTTGTTGCTTTACTTGGTTCAGTAAAAAAAGTATACAAAAAAATTGTGTTTCATGTTCTGTATATTCTATCATAGCATTCAGTTACACAAATTTAAATATAAAATGGTATCTTTTAAAAGGAAAAATAAATATCTAAAATATACTGTTGAACAATACAATTTGTCAAAGAAGTGCTAAGTTCAAATATGATAATGACAATTATAATCATACAAACAGAAGAGGAGCTAGACATCGCAACATGTAATAAGTTTCCCACACATAGTAACAATATCTCCTCTTTTCTAGAAAAATGTAGTTATCATGCTATGATATACCAATTATTGTCCTTCAAAGAAAGTTTTATTCAATTTTATATTTTCATACCTCAAGAAACTTGGTGTCAGAAATTGGTTTAGTTTAATATAAAATGAATATGTACTGAATATCTCATTTTGTTTCCTTTGTCACAGTAGAAAAAACTAGCTTAGTGAGGATACATCAATTTTGACTTTATACCAGTCTATTAAAATGTTATTTTATTGATTGTTTACAAAAAGTAATATATGATTAACAGATGCTTGGTAAATTGTCAAAAAAATGAATTGTTTTTTGGTTTATAGTCTATAATCTATTTCTGGATAGCTTTTAAAAGTTTTAACAAAGTTGCTGACACATAGCTGAACTCAAATTTTTGCAAAATCATTTTGAATACAATAGATAAGCAGAAGGGAGATAACTCAACATCTCAAAACAGATCTAAGGAGAGGTGTCAGGGTCCAGTCTCTTGCAGTTCTATGCAAGGTTATAAACAAAGGGTAGCTAACTGATTTTCCTGGGGAAGTACATTATTACTGTTTAATATATAAAATATAAGAAAGATCACTAATTTGACCTGTTTTCACTCTAATTGTACTGCCATTTCTTTACACTACCTTCATTCTCAGTGTACATAAAACTATACAGCCAGAAAGTCCTGTAAATTTGTTACCATCTTGTACACTGTAAACTTGAGTGCAAGTTCTATTCACATGGGCCATATTTCAGATGGGGGTGACAGTATAGTTATCAAAATGTCATACAACTGGTTGTGATATACAGACTTATTCAAACTGAAACAAACCTGTAAGTTCAGAGGTAAGGCCTAGATAATTGTTCACTTCCATTCAAGCATGTATTTGCATGGTCAAGTAATGTAATATAAAATGTATGTGGTTTCTAAAGTGTTTCCGATTAATTTGGTGAATGTGTTGGATATTACGTTTATATAATTTTTTTTATACCTGCCTAATTATCAGTGTCATAAAACCTATCTTGCTGTCCTGTATTATTAAGATTCAATTCTCTCCTTATAAGCCCAACCCTATCAGAGTTTCAGTATGATTACAAAATGCTGTATCATTTTCCTGTGATAAACCTATCTGCCAACGTTGAGTCAGATGTTGTGTTAGGCCCCCTAGTTTTTTGTTTTTTGTTAACATTACTTCATCTTATGTAAGGTTTCATCTCCCAGGTTGTCGTTCTATCAAAGCAAGGAAGATAACCTTTATGGTCTTTATGGCTGCCCTGTTAAAACTCTTGTTTTTGTTAATATTTAACAGACAATGAAATATTTTCCTTATGAATCATGTATTGACTGTAGACGATCCTTTCCAAAATTTGAACCTGCAATATAGTTTCATAACAAAATACAAATTAGGAATATGTATAATGTACCAGTATGAGGCAAAACAGAATACAAATGCACAATGGCTCAATAGCATAATTCAAACCTTTAATTAATTTTTGTTCATTTATCAGCTTCCAATGATGAGACTCAGCCCGATAGACTTCAACTGTGACATGGACAAAGAGAATGAGAAGCAAACTCTGACCTTTGGTGATCCTGAGGCTGACCACAGCTCAGAGAGTCTGGAGGCTGACCAAGAGGTGACGAGATTAGTCAGGCCACAGTTTTTCTCGGATGAGAACAGTTCCCAAGACAGTGGTGTAGACTTGGAGAGAGATGGAAGGGTAAGTTGATATTAGAAACTTGTATACAATTTCTGAGGGGGCATGGGTAGGGGGGGGGGGGAGTTCTGTTCTTGGGATCTAGGCTCTTTATCAAAAAGTTCAAGGAAAGTTTCAGTCATCATTGAAAATTACAGAATATTTAGATAATTGATTACATGATTCCATAAACTGTACAAATATTTGACTGGAAAAAATCTTTTTTGGACTGAAACAAAGTCAGGGTACAAATATCTGTTAAATTCTAGTCAAAAATAATATTTTTACAACTATTCAATAAAGAGCTTTATGTTTTCATTGGGAAATAGTTTTTAGTGCAAAATTTATTATAAATAAGTACTTTGAATATAAAGATCATTGGTTGTAAAATTTTGAAATGTACACATCTTGGCAGCAGGTAGATTATGATGGTAATACCCTTGTTCAGAAGCATGTTGTGTCTCTACATAAACTGTCTATTCCACTTCTATTGTTAAGCTTTTTGGTAATTGTATAATATTTACTGTCAATAAATTGTTTACTTCACTGTTTCCTGCCCTCTATGAGTTCCTTGTGGAAAGTCTGAACACTTCTTGTTGTCAAATTAGGAAGGAGGACTTTATTCATTTGATAATATAAAAAGTTTGATTTGGTTTCTTTGTGTTTTGCTGGAGTCACTTAGTGAAATGACATTTGAAGTTCCATAGTATTTACTAAAATGCACAGCAGAAGGTCAGAATAGACAGTATTCCTTTATCTTTATTTTACAGGTTATTAATGTTGAAGTTTCTAATTTATCTATTTGTATATTTTGCATGGCAACATGTCATTTGATATGTTGAAAGATGAAAGCAACCAATGAAAAAATAAAACAAAATAATTTTCTCTTTGTTTTAGTATGATTCTTCCATTTCATAATTTCAAATTAATACAATAGAGCTACATATTTTGATATATTTTATAGTTCATCAAAATTTTTGAAATGTACGTTTTGCATTGAACATGACAATAATGGAAATATTGATCCATAGATTAATTCTAAATCGTGATAAAATGGCTAACACTTTAGTGTCTCAATAAATCCCAGTCAGTCAGATAAATATTCAAAATATTTAATGGAATTTTTTTTTTGAAAGATGTGCTAGTTTAATATTTTGTATTTATCAATTGAGTTTAGATATGTATGAACCATTTTTGTTTTTTCATTTGTGTTCATCTTTCAATTGTTTTGTTGTATTTGTCATGTGTATGCACCTGAGGCTGCTATTATAGAAAGTCTGACGTCACAAACAAGTTGTGGATATGTTAGGAATGAAGTCTCAGTCGTGATAGATACAAAATCCTAACATTGAAATGTGTGTGATCCATAAAAACTATTACATCAGACTGAATACAATTAAATATAGATTATTATAATTACAATAAATCCTGTGACAATGACAGATTTTTTTTAAACCAATTTAGCATTGCAATATAATTTGGAATTGGAGTTGATAAGTCTCAGATTGATCAATAGAATTTTTACAGCAAAAATTACAGCTTGAAAAAAAATGGTTTTCAGTAAAATTAAATTCTCTTGTCTGTGGTGTCTAAAAGTTTATTTTATTCATATGTCACTATAACTGAGAATTTCATTGATTATCATATTCATCTTTCATCTTTTAATTGAATGTTTCTTTCATATTTCATCGTCTAATTAAATTTTTATTCATATTTCTTCTTCTCATTGACTGTTTCATTCACATTTCTGTTTTTCATTGACTGTTTCATTCATATTTCATTTGTTATTTGCGCATTAAAATATTTCCATGTTGTAATATTAACTTCTTCCTAATCAGAAAATTAACTCCTTACATTTAACTGCTTTGCCCAAAATACAAACTACATGTATCCTGGTCTTCATATGCATCAGAAATCCTGCATCAGCATGCCAGGGGGCATAACTCCAACTGAAACATGCTATGTATTGACTTGTATGCTTGGTGATGGGAATTTCTGTTGTCTGAGTATTTATTGATGTGTTCATCAACAAAATAAAATCAAACCAAAAAAGGAAACTGAAAAGGAGATCAGAAAAAAAGAAAAATCAAGTGAAATTTTGATAAAAGGTCAAGAATTTTCATTTTGTTATCACATTAGCAAATATATCTGTATAGCATTGCATTAAGTACTTAATAATTTACACAGCCATGTCAGATTTCAGAAGAAGCTCAAGAAAAAAATTGGAAGATATGAATAATTCTGTTTTAAGTATTAAGAAAGGAAAAGAACATGCAAAAAAAATAAGTTGAAAATATTAGAGTAAATCTTTTGGTGTCAGTGTAAGTAAATCTTGTTGATGAATGCACAAGGTAATCAGACGATTAGTTATAAAAGTTGAGCCTGTTTTAAAAATCGGAGCACCCTTTTGTCACCCCTCAGGATGAGTTCCAGTTCGCAGCCCCCATCGGCGTGCCCCCACGTAACAAGATGAAGATAATCAGTGAAGACACTTGTTCACCCCTCAAATACTCACCTGTCAAGTACCTGACCGACAGTAACAGCGACTCTCCATCACGACCACGCTCTAAGTCTGTCCCCGTTACAGGCCTGGTACGACCTTGTATTTGTAAACCTATCAAACATGTCTCTGCATACCACAAGAGGCACAAATATACTTCAAAAAAAGGCTCTTGACATTTGCTTAAAGTTGAAACAGTACATGTCCCCAAAATGGAGTCCTGTCTGTTACATATTTGCAAAAGTCCAGGATAAAGATTTTTTCACTAGTAACACACTTAACAAAACCTTAGTGAGTAAATATTCAAAACAGGTAATCTTTCACAATGGAAACTTGTCTGTCATGAATCAACACTAGTTAGTATGATTATTTTCCCCTTGTTATCTCTCTTTGGGATTATTTTTACATATTTTAGATTTTTAAAACAGTGAATCCAAAAAGGAAATTAGTCATGACAACTCCAAACTACAAAGGATTTGGGCCATTATTTTTTCTAAGTCATTTCCCTTTGTCACTCCTAATTTTATACCTTGAATGTCCCAAAGTTGTTCAACAAGAGTAGTTTCTATTCTCTACCAATGACTTTCTGTTGGCCTTTTCATTGAATTGTTCTACTCATAAGTTAAAATTTATTTTTCATCATCCTTCTCTTTTTTTGTGTGAACTGTCACTTTGGTTTTCAAAACTTAAAATCATCTTATTAATTTTGTAATTAATTACATCATCATAATTTAGTGTATCATCGTTTCTTATTTATCATACATTCTTGTGAATTATAAATTTGAGTGATATTAATGTGGATATTTTCATGTGTGGAATTTCTGCAAGAGACTTGTTCATTGATAAATATTTTTTAATGAAAAATTGAATTAATTCTTTGTTGATTTAAGGAGATTCATAAATAGTGGATTTACAGAAAGGAAATACTCATTCTACAACAGAAATCTTGATAAGTGAATTAATTGAATTTCATTATCAAAAGTCAAGTCTCTAGCATAAGTAACAGTGTGTATGCTATTATTTTCCCAGCACTTAAAAAAGTCATATTAAAAAGTCACATAAACCATATCCCCTTAATGTTGTTTTACCTACAAAGGAATTTTCTTCTTAGATATTTCCTCACTTTATGGACTTGTATTGTTATTAGTGGTTGTCTGCCCTTGTGTAGTATTTGTCCTGTTATAAACATGTATTTTATAATGGTTGTCTGCTCTTGTATAGGATTTTTCCGGTGCTAACATTCGACCTATGGAGAAGTCTGACAGTCCTCTCAAGTTTAACCGTCTGCTTAGTCACGATGATGAAGATGTGGACGATGGCTTCCTGGATTGTATGGACAGCGAAATCACCCAGGTGTGTTTCATTGCATTCCACAATTTTATTATGAAAAAAGGAAAAGTTTCACAATAAGCACATATACTCCTTGTTCTTTTATAAAATCATTGAGTTATGGGGTTAGTGCTCCTTCCCATTGTGATTAACTTGTTTTAGGCCAGTTTTGATTTACCCAACTCCCCATCTAGATTTCACTTTAAGATTCCTCACTGACAAGTCCTTGAGAGTATAAAACATTTGTATGATGCATTTTAATTCATTATTTCACTCTACTGTATCTGTTGATAATTTGATATTGAAAGGTACTATTACATGTGTCTTTTGTCAAATTCCCTTTAAAATGTTGTTGAAATCACATGAATGTCATTAAAAATGCTTCTGTCTAGTATTAGAAACATATCTGAGCTAGACCAGATGTTAAAAAGGCACCCAAAAAAATTATTTGATGATGCCACCTTTCATTGGTTTAATTCATGTTGCATCTGTATAGTTCAGCATTAATTTCTTTTAAAATGGAGTTATTATATCATTGTATACATCATCTGATATTCTATCTTTCAACACTTTGATGTATCTGTTAGTAATAATATTATTTCATTTTTTTCCCCCTGTTTTAAAGATCAACAACAATGGTCCCAATGTGTCGGACACGATGGCATCCTTATTTAGTGCTCCCGTTGTAAATGAGGACCGCTTGGCTAGCAGATTGGAGTTGGAGGAAGATGTCGAAACACCTGTGGTGAGTACATTCTGACAGGTTTTCCACACTAGGTGACATTTTGTATCCTAAAAGACAAAGCTACAGAATACACTAGAATAACCATTTCAGTCTGTTTATCTGTAGATAGCGTTTCTGAAATACTTGAATCAGCACCAAAGTAGAGATAAGGATTACTGTGGTTCATTTTTGGGGTTCTAAGATTTTGGTGGATTCTAAAAACTGGCAAGACTTACTTTGATAAAATTCAATATAAAACATGTTTCAACTTGATAATTATTATTTCTATTTTTCACAACTGAAATTGGGACAAAAGTTTTAGTTCTGCAATTTTGGTAAATTTTGAGACAATGCAAAATCGTCACTTTTTATTTTGTAATCCTGAATTATTTGTGTTTTGTAATATATTTTGTTGTGTTTTCAAGTGTTTTGATAACAATTTGTGATTTGTTTTTATGTTGTTTGATAGTCAAAGCTTTGAAGAATATTTGCTGATGCATGATAGTAATAATGTTGTTTATTACCAATTCAGATAAAGAGGTCCAACAGAAGACTACTCAACAGATCCCAGTCTTATGATGTGCGGAATCGACTCAACTCTAACAAGCGTGATCCCCCAACAGACGATTCCACGCCCACACAGAGCAAGCGGCGGAGATCTGTCATCTCCTCCAGCTCACCTGTGTTGTCAGAGGAAACAAGCAAGGTAAGCTCATGAAATTTAAGGCATTTGGGGTTTTCATTTGGCATGAACTCATCTTTATATAGTTGTCTGTCACTCAGTTTTTATGCCCCCTGAAAATCACTTGACTTTTATGTTCTCAGAAAATTATGTCGGTCTTTCTGTCTGTCATATCCGGAGCATAATTTTGGTCACAGTTAAGCAAAGATCTTTAATACATTGGTCATCATAAGACAATATGCATTATACCAAATTCAGGAACCAACCCTTTTAAAAAACTAATCAAAGCTGACAGGCAAGATGCTTCTGACACTATTCAGATAGAGATTCACATCAATCTGGAACTAGCATTGCTCTGCTTTGAAGTTAATTCTCTGAGTTGGAACAATACAGCAGAAGGCAAAGGATCAGAGGATCACTGACATCTATTGTTAGCGTTCTATCTAAAACACTTTAGCAAATATCTTTTTTTAGATAATCAAAACGGTAAGCCACATCATAGCTATGATCGTAATACACCTTTGTACCAGGTTTCATGTTCATATTTGTAAAAATTACAGAGAGAAATTTTACTCGATTGCCAGCAGCATTTGTCATTTTGTATCACACTTGAGGGCAGAGTCTTCAAACTGTATATCTTAAAATATGAAATAAAGTTAGCTACATTGATGTACACAAAATTTCATTTTCATATATGCAAAAAGGAGAATGACAGACACAGCCAATAATCACATCACCAAATAATCATGTAATCAACAATTTCATCAATGACAAAAAACATCAATGTGTATGTTTTATACAAAGAGCATGGGTTTTTGTAAAGCGTCTTGAAACCCTTTTGCCGTAAATACTGAATGTTAGCAACATTAAAATTTTAATAAGATCATAAGACATTGCTATACCAAGTTTGATGTTGATTTAATGGGGAATAAAATCAACAGCAAGAAATAATTCATCCCAAAATTGTTTTGTCAGAGATGTATAAAACACATCCATCTGAATTATACCCTCATCACATGATGTGATGCATTTGTCCTTTTGTTTGTTTTGAGTGTTTAAAGAATTGTTGTCATTTAATAATAATTTTAGCATATTAAGGATTGGAAAACAAGCTAAAACTTCTTGAAATCTATATCAATTGCGAGTTCATATAGGCTTACTTAAGTGTTCATATAATTATCTCAGTAAAAAGATATCCTTACAAAACATACAATAATAATACACTCACATAGTTACTTTTGCCCGTCACAGATACAAATATATCTGTTTGCTAAATAGGACAGGATGGTCTCACTTGGATATTATTTTCATAGTTATCTTGTTTTTCAGACGCCTCCAAAGCCAAAGTTGTTCAGATGCCAGTCAGAGACAGAAGCTGTGATTAAGTCGGCGCTAAATAGGATAGCCAATGAACCAGATCTCATTGGTGATTGTTCTAAGGTGGGTGTCAGTTGTTAATGTAGCTTATTAAGTCTGCAAAATTTTAAGGTTGACAACCTTAACTGTGAAAAGTTGCTAACTGTCTTTTTCCTTGTCACAGTTGTGTAGTTAGAGTTAGGGGTGAATTGCTCTTGAGAATAAGGCCAAATGAAGTTATCGTTCTCAGTTTGCTTTCTTTCACTGCTAGAATACGAAAATTTTATACTACACAAAAGTTCTTACATTTTTTCTGATTTTGATTTGCAATTTCCAGATTTTTCTAGCTCTGTCAAACTTATGCCAAGTGTAAATGGGGCTATTGGTCTACATAAAAGCAATTCAAAGGCCATCCCTTATCACCTGACTGATCTTTTACAAGTAATGGAGATCTCTCTTAATTTTCTAGTGATTTCTTTCAAACTTGCTAGGCTAATATCACGATGACATGAAGTGTATTCTTTTTAGTACAAAATATCCTAAATATTTCTTTGATATGGAATGGGCATATATGATATGGCTTAACAGTACTTTAGTTCAAAGGAATCGTCCTGAGAAGCTAAACATTGATTTTATTTGGCCTGAGATATAATTTTGTTGATTGCTTGATAACATTGATGTGATCAAGTGTCACAACTGTCACAGTTTCTTCAGATGTGATAAACTTCCTTTTCCAGGCTTTAAGTGATCTTGTGTTGTGCAACATATTTTAACATGTTCATAATAAGACATTTAGATTTTATTTTCTTGAGAATAGGTATTGTTTCACAAATTATTAGTTACCCAAAATTGATTACAGGTCCAGAATAGTGCTATTAACAACAAAATACTGACATATTAACAAATATTGTAATTAAAAATCAGACTCCATGAAACTAAGGTTTAACATAAAGAAAGGTTTCCATGTAGCACCTTAAAAATCAACTTTTTAATTAAGATGGAATATTTTCACTAGAATTTGTTTCTACTGTGAATCATAAAAGATCATACTTCATATTGATGCAAATTCATGGTTTTTCAAATCTGCTTGTGTGCATTAGATATTCATGAATTGATATTACATGACCAATACATTTTCCCTTAAATCCAACTGGAAAAAAATGTGAAATATTAAGCATTTCATGAATTCAAGAAATTAATGAAAATTCTTAAACAGTGTACGCATGTCAATGTTTAAGCAATTCTTGTGTCATGAATTTAAACAGAATGTTTTGATATTTTCTTATAGAAATATGCTAAAACTTAATTTTCCTATTACAGCCTTACTGCTTGCCTACCATTACCGGAAAACACCAAGATCTCAAAGGAATATCTGCTGAGACGGTAAGAGTGAGAGTAGGTCAACAATAAATTATAAAATCTTAGTAAGACAATAGAGGTGACAAATCCAGCGTAATTACCTAAATTTTACACAGTTGAGGATAAATTTTGTGTAAAGTATATGCAAAGATTGAAGTAAAATTTGACCCCAACAAATAAAAAACTCTCATCAAATGTTTACTTTGTTGTTGTAGATGGTGGATGTGTTGAACAATGAGTATGACCATACCTTAGAGAAGTATATCGTTGTGGACTGTCGGTACCCCTATGAATTTGATGGAGGTCATATTAAGGTAATTGTGAAAGGACAGTTTGTAGGAAAGAAGGGGCAAAGTTGTGTGAAGTACAACATGTGTAACAGAAGTTGTCATTTTAAGAAAAATGTTCTGTTCATTGTAGAAATTTCTTGATCATGGGGAATACTGAGCAAAGATACTGAATTTGAATAGAAAAATTACTTCTGTAGTAGGAAGTAATTTCTTTCCAATGATGCTAAAAAAGTCTTTAAAATGCTTTAACTCAAAAGGAAGTGAAATCTAGAAAGCAATAATCTGATTCAACACTGAGAAAAAAGGAAAAATGGATGGAAAATAAAATCACATACATATTTTCCATAAGATTTTCATTAATTCAATGGAAGTAACCATTTCAAAAAAAAACACAGCAACAGTTTCCTTAAATGGTTTGTTCTTATGATTTTCTTGTTGAATTTTTCAGGACGCAAAGAATATCTACACAAAGGAGGCTATCATTGAAGAATTCATTAAACGTCCCATCACAGCAGAAGATTCTAACAAACGTGTCGTGCTCATCTTCCACTGTGAGTTCTCCTCGGAGAGAGGTCCATCTTTGTAAGTATCAACTCTTCTATACCATTGCTGTTGTTTTCCCTTACACAGTGGTGCTGTGTAAATATAAACCTTAAAAATTGCAAAAGAGTTCATTAAAAGACATTTCTTGATAAAATTGGCCTGTTTTTGAATTATTTGTTATGGAGAGTTAATTTGAAATTTCATACCTACCTGTTGTAGAAATACAAACTTTCCATATGTAAATATTTTACTGTTCTTGTTGTTTTAGATTACGTTTCCTGAGAAAAATGGACAGAGATGTTAACAAAGAGTGCTATCCTGCCCTACACTACCCAGAACTTTACTTACTCGAAGGAGGATACAAGCTTTTCTACCAGGACTGCAAGGTAAGCACAGTTTGAACATTTAGTGAGAAACATAATGTTAAAGGAAAAGAAGTAGAAAAAAAAAGAAAGAAAAGAAGGGGGGAAAAGAAATAACCTAAGATAGATTGCAATACTGAATTATAGCATTGTTAAACAAAAATTACAGATAAAATTATTCCAAGTTTTAAAACATGATTAAATGTTAAATGTGATCAGGCAGCATGACTAGGTATTTGGGTTCAAGTGTTTGATTCTTGTTTTTGCCTGTAGGACCATTGTGAACCACGCAGCTACAAACCTATGCTACACAAAGACCATACGAGTGATTACAGACATTTTCGCGCCAAGTCTAAGTCATGGGCTGGAGAGAAGACAGGAAGGACAGGCTTCAGACCTCTTAAGTTTTAAGTCACAACACCAACCCCCAGACTTGGTGATTAAGGCAGCTCTAGTGTTGCCCAAGGAGTAGCCAGCCACCTCGTATTGATGGACTTTATTAATCAGTGGTGTCTTGTGCTTCTGTGGGTTATGCTTTTTACAGATATATTACTCTTATAGTAACCGTCCATTCGAGAATGATCTCTCCTTAGGAAAAAAAACGAAAAATGTTAGCTTCAAGCGGCTGAATGGACAACAGAATCAGTTGCATGGCTGAACGAATGATAGTATTAGCTATGTGGCTGAACAAAAGAAAGAATCAGAATACAGGAATGTGCTGATGCCTTTTAGGCATGTTATCTGTTCAGATAACTTGTAACAGTGTCTCTATCTCCAATATCTTACTCTTAAACCTGTCTCTCACTCTGTTTTATTTCTTCTGTTATGTTTTAAGATTGTTTTCCATTTTTACTTAAAAATTGAGGTTGTCTATACTAAAACAAACGAAAAATGAAAAGAAAATCAGCAGAAAAAAGCTGCAAAAGATTATTAGTACTTTACCAAGGCTGAAAACAGTCTCAGTGCTGTTAACTATTGACTATTAGGGTGAAGAGAGAAGTAAGTGTGTGCGTGTGTGTACATATGTGTAAATGTGTATATCATTTTGTCTGTTTTACCATGCCCTGTGTTTATAAAGGACTTGTGTCTCCAGTTTTAAGACTTTTGGTTACATAACTGACAAAACTTCAGAATTTATTCAAGTCGATTTCACATTATCATTTTTGACATTATTGTCATTCGTCAACTACCTGATAAAGTTGTGAAGGAACTGTTTTGTCAACTATAGAACCAATAGTTATATCTGGTAGACACCATGTTCCCACCCATAAACACATGTGAATAGACCTCATTCCAAGCCATGTACAGAATTATGTACATAGATATAAACAAATAAAACATTAGGTTATTGAAGTATTCCATCTATTTATTTCTGTTCTCTGGGCAGTATGTGTGTCTATTCCAATAGTGCTGTAGTGCTTAGTTATCTGTGTGTGGAGAGAGAATGTGTTATTATGTTCTTGTACTTCTGCCTTCATGCACATTCTGATTGATTCTATAGCAGCATTTGTTCATGTATTTGTGTACCAATATGCTGACTAGTCAAATTTCTGCTTTGGAATGTATCTCTTTGATGTGTGCAAATATATCAAAAAGCAAATATATGAATATTTGAAAATCAGTTCTTCATATAACTGCCCAGAGTGCAGATTTCAGAATCATATCAAAACGGTTTAAAATATTTAGTGACATTACTAGAAGTAGAATCAATATTCACTTTAAAATGCTTGAACTGTTACTCTAGATGTGATCTTGATATCCAGATAAAACAACAAAAATAATGATGACTTTTAATTCCCATTTTGAAAATAATGATTAGATTTTATCAGCATTAATGAAATTGAAATTTCATGCATAATTATGTATTGATTAAATCATCTGTAAGCTGTTGTCTTTTATGTCTGTATATGAAAAGATTGTGATTGATAGTGAGAGAAGATGAGATTGATTTGAAAATCTGATTGTACTTGTGTGTGTGTGTGTATGTTACATCGGGTGCCATTACCTGTGGGAGAGAGGCCTACGGAACGCACCTTGTACAAAGTGTACAGCAGAATACAAAGTCTATTTATGTATACAGAGCAACACAGTCTGACATATTGTATTGTGCAAAGGGCAGATAACTCACAAATGACCTAAAAACAAATATTTGTTTTCATAATAACCAGAAGCTTTATTTTAATTATTCTGTTAAGTATGGCACTGTTGTTTTAACACGAAATGATAAAAAAATCAGGGATTTTTATTGTTTTAAATTTTTTTTTTTTACTGGTGTGTAAAACTGTCATAAGCCAGCAGCCTCATCGAGTCAAACTTAGGCTTAAATATTTTAATTGTGTCTATGTTATTTCTCATTTCTCAGTCATGTTTCCTTTGTCAAGAATTTTTCCTCACTTTTTTACTGTCCTATCACTCCTTTCTATCTGAATATATACATTATTATTAATAAACTGAGGGGATGTGACTGAAAGATTTTTTTCCCTTTATTTCTGTTATTCATAGATTAAGTTATTTTAATTTATTTCTTATAAAATACTGAAGATCTGCTTTATAAAGTGGTCAAGATAGAATCATTATCGTAGGTTTAGTGTTGTAGTGTTTAGTGTATGATTATAATAGATAGATAGTTGGTATTGTAAATATAAAACGTAGTAAGCTATGATATATTTCAAAAGTGGCTCTTTGGAAAATATTCCAAAGATACTGATGGATTAAATATATTAAGTGTGGGTGGTTGTGTCGCTGTGAAGCTTAAGTCATAAGGTGGACAGCTTTCTACCTCTCTGGAAATACAGGTATTTAGCAGTATTGTGTTTTGTTGTGAAGTTGCTAGTATTTGAGAAAATGTATTGTCAGACAGAGCTACAGTGGCTTGCATTCATGGGTGTTTTTATGAAAGTATGTCTCAGCTTTTTAGCTGATTAAAACTATTATACTGAGTATTCATAAAGCAATTATTAATTCAATTCAATACTAGGTGTAATTTTGTTGTCAGGGATATCAGATAGGGACTTCTCTGTTTTGTTTTAAGACTTGTATAGTTTTAGTTTCATAGGAGTTTCTTGGTCGTATGAATGTTTATCATGAACCTAACCGATGTTGATTTGCATGATCTCAGTTGTAGTAGATAACATGCAATTCATGCTAGTATAGACAAGGATTTTGAGTGCAATATCAGTGTAGTTATGATAGGGTTAATTTTTTTATGTCCATATAGTCAATGATAATTTTTTGTAGGATATATAAATTGGTAATATAATGATAAAAATTCAAATTTTCAAAATTATGTTAAGTGGGGAGGGGGGTGTTGGGGGGAGATGATTTTGCCAAATGCAGCATTTGTGATGCCGAACCATAGGTACGTGGTATAGATCTCCAGTTCAGTTTGTGTAAGGATATGTACCACGACCCCATGATCAAATCATGCCTGTGATATAAAGGTAGTGCATCTTGGGTGTAAAATATGACTTGTTTAGAAAGATAGATACAGAAAACATCACCAATTAATTTATAGATAATTATCAAAAATATTTGTAGAAGAGATGATGAAATATCTGAGTGTTAATTTAGTGGTGTCATGTCGAGGCTGAAAATTAAAACATTGTGAGTCAGCCTGCTGCATTGATTGTGTTGTACTATTTATACACATGTGTATTATTTACATATCCCTCCAAACAACTAGAGAAGGGACATATTTAAAATCATATAGAGTGTAATAAATTTTTATCTAATCTAACCTTATTCTGGTTGTTGTTCTTTAAATAATGATTTAGCAGATTGAAGATTCTTGTTCTCTGCATGGTTCATTCAGACTTTTATATCATTCAAATATAATGATATATGGAAAAAAATTAATATTGCACAAACTTTGAAGATTAAAAACAGTATCCAAATCTATGTGTTAAGTCTTGAATGCATTTTAATTTGTCTTAATATTGAATATTAATATCTAAATTTCAATATTGAAAAGTCTGTATTGTCCATGTTTTGAGCGAACAAGCACTGAAAAACATCTTTGAGACAATGAGAATGTTATTAAGTAACAGATCAATTGACTCCATTAGATGTAATGGTCACAATTTTTGATAATTCACTGGTATGTAATTTGACATTTTCATGAAATATTAATTGGTAAATGCCAGTTCAAAGGTGAAGGTCACTTGGTTCAAGGTCAGTTGCTATCTGTTGTAATTGTGTTATACTATATCAAATGTGAACCAAGGACAAAGTAAAATTTTGAGATTTAAAAATTATTTTCACAGTGTCATGTTGACCAGAGTGTACTAAATGTAAAAGCAGCCTCTTCCTACCCTCCACCAATTAGGATACTTTCTATGAATTTTAAATCAGGAGGCAAAATAGCATTTAACTCTTGACAGTTCTGTCAAATAAAAAAACAAAACAAAACAAAATCTCATTAAAACAGAACAGTAAGGGGATTTCCATGAACAAATTTACATGGAGTTTTCAAGGCAAGGAATTTGCATTTGTTGGGCATAAAAAGCAGGATCCCACTGGTAGAACCTGTAAAAAATGGGTTTCAAAATTGAAACAAATTTTCAAAAGTCAGCTCCTTTAGTACTGACAAAGAGATTGTAACTTATTTCATTTGAAGATTCCTGGGTTTAGAAAGCTAAAATTTTTATATACAGGCTTGAAGATGTGGTTCTCTTTGGCAAGTTATTATAAATCTTTAGAATAAGACTACTTTATCATAATGTGATTTTTGCGTCATTCCTTATTGGATTTTGATCAAACCACACATAAAATCAACTATGATATCTTGGACAAGTTCAAATTTCGGGGCTGTTGGGTCAAGGTTAAGTACACTAACTTTTTCTGAAAATCATTGTCAGCGCATTTTCATCAGTTTCCACACTGTAATAACTTGAACAAGTTTGAGTTTCAGGGTTGTTGGGTCAAGGTCAATAAGTAGTTACTTACTACATGTATTGATAGAAAATCATGGACAGCACTCTAGCAGCTTCATTTGTTACAGGATTTTCATCACACCTCACACACTTACAAATGACCATAACTCATTGTTACACATTGGTGATGAAACTGAATAGACAGATTGCCATACTTATTTATTGCATTTCTAAAATCAGTTACAAACTAATTGCATACTTTCCTTTGTTGCCAAATGAACACCAAACAGCAGCATCATTATAAGTTATTACAGTGTAATAGCTTGTAGGGGTTGGTAGGGGACATATATTGCTGTAACATTGCTAAGTACAGTTAATGACAATGTCTGTTCCTGTCCTTTATCAATAACTTTTGAATTTCATAATGTTCACAATTCGTTCTTTAGTATTGTACTAATATGTTCGTGTGGGTCCTTTCATAACTGAACATGTTCAAAACAATCAGCTATTAATTTCCATTGTTTACAAATGTGAAATGTTTCAGTTTCAGTCCTGACAGATTCAATTCTAAATATCACTGAGTCTCTGACCTTTGGAAAATTATTTTCATCTTTGAATTTTTCATCTAAACTGTTAAAAGGATCTACGCAGATACCACATGCAATTTATTTATTAATATAACAGGTTTTACATCTCCAATTTCGTCATTTTGGCTTTTCAGCAAATGAGGCCACATTTCAATGTTTAGAGTTTTATATAGCTTATTAAATATGGCATTTTGTTGTTTGTCTGGAACTGCTTAGTTTATTCAACCAGATCTGGTTGGAGGGGCATTATTTGGGCAAGGACATTTTCAAATAAATAAAATGGTGACACAGACCCTAATGGAAATAGATGTATGGAACTAACATTGACAAAATATCAGTT